TCATGGCCAGCTCTATGTAGGTAGGTTGTGGGAATACAGAGGTGGTCATTCAAGCACCCCTGCTGGAGTTTCGGAGTTTTGTGGAGAAGTAGATCAGTAAACACACGGGTACCAAGTAGGGTCATCAAGGATGTTGATTCACAATTGTCCCTGTTTTTCTAAGCTTGCCACATCATGCAAGGCTGCTACCCAAGTGACATTCTTAGGCTTCACCAAGTGTCTTCACCAAGCTCCACCCAGCTGTCACACAATGGGTAATACTGTGGGCCAGATGGAGAGGCAGGCTTTCACTGGGGTTCTATTTTAAAAGAGGGGAAGTCCTCTATTCATTTACAACACTTGTTTTCCCCAAACCATTCAGCATAGCATTACTCAAGTCCCATAGAGAGAACCTTCCAACAGATAGCTCTCCTTGCCCCGGCTTGTCCCCTGATATGCTTCCAGGTCTTAAAAGAGTGAGAACTCAGCCTTCCCTCTCTGCCCTGCCTGCCAGGAAGCTCAGAGGTAACTTGTTTGCTCAGTTCCAGTAGCTTTCCTGACCCAGGATTTCTTTTTCTTATAAAATTTGCCCTCATTCCTTTCCAAGGAATGTTTGCTTCTTGTGTTTTGTTTGTTTGTGTTGCTTTTGTCTCTGTATTTTACTTTTTGGGGGCAGGATTGGCAGCAGGGTGGTGGTTAGAAGCACCAGCAGTGAAACTGGACATACCTGGGTTTCATCCCACTTGCTAGCTGTGTCATTTTAAGTAAAATAAGTTGCCCCTTCAGTTTTTGGTTCCTTGCCTTGAAAATTGGGATAATGATCACAATGAATGGATAGGTTATTGTGAAGATTAAACTTGTTTATTTTAAATGTCCTTGTTTCCTGTTCCTGCTCCTGGATCAGACTTGATCTGTGGCTGTGGAATCCTAGTCTTCATTTCCTTCTTCTGGCCCCTGTCAATCAGCATACAATGGGTTGTACAATACTAGTGACTAGGGGACCAATCATCCCAGTTGTCTGGGACAGAGGGGTTTCCTGGGATGCAGGACTTTCAGTGCTGAAATGAGAAGGTCCCGGGCAAATGGATGAGTTGGTCACCCTGGTAATAAACAACCTCAACATCTCAGTGGCTTACAGTAGCAAAGGGTTTTTCTTCCTTGTGCTACTGTCCATCCACTCTGGCTAAATGAGGAGATTCTAGCCAGGAAATTGACAGTCTTGGGCACAGACAGAGGAACACATGTTAAAGGTTCTTTAGAAAGTTGTAGCTGTCACTTCTGCTTGGTCAGGGCCATTTCTTCATTGGTCAGGGCCAGTCACATGGCCAGGCCTGCCACCAGGCTGTCAGTGCAGAACCTTCCCACTGGGTGCAGCAGCTCAGGGTCTGGAACATTGATCCACTTTGCCAGGCTCGCCTTTCTCTTCTTTCACATTTTAGGGTGCTGAGGCAGGGACCAGGGAAAGGAGGGAGTCATCTGGTCTGGACTGGGGGTCTTGGATGTGGTCATCTTCCTGTAGATGGTGGGTATGGGTTTCTTAAAAGGCAGTGTTCAGCCTCACCCTGCTTTGCTCAGAGGAGCAGCTGTGTCTCCTTCGGGCACCTTCTAGTGGCTGATGCCCTGGCCCTTCTCAGCTGCCAAGGCCTCTGTTTGCAGGGCAGGCTAGGCTGTGTCTTCTCTTATACCTTCCTTGGTCCTTTCTATGGAGCCCTGAGATCCTTTCCCCATGCTCCTCGGTGGAATGGAGGGTGCCCTCACATTCTTCCAAGGCATCCTGCACAAGTCCCTCCATTGCCTTGCTTTCTCCGGCAGTCCAGTAAGCCTCCATCCCACCTTTGGGACTGGCTAGCTCGGAAGTGGGCACACCTGTAGCCCCTGACTCCAGGACCACAGACCAGTCTCTCCCCAGAGCATTCTCACCACATGCCATGTGGATGGCCAGGTCAGGGTGGCCTTCAGAGCCCACCCTCGGCAAGGGTGCCCTCTCAAAGGCACGTCTGTTGGCTCAAATTCCTTGTGGAAGTAGCCCAGAAAAAGGCTTTCCTTTTTATCTTTTGTTGTTTTATTTGTTGTTCTTACATCTAAGAACACCTTCTTGGGCAGAAAACAGTTTTCCAAAAATAATGTTAATTAAGTGTCACAGCTAGTTTCGCTTTCTTACTTTGTCTAGGCATATAAAAAAGGCTTTCTGAGGCTGGACATGGTGGCTCCAGCCCATAATCCCAACAGTTTGGGAGGGTGATTTGGGGGGATTGCTTGAGCCCAGGAGTCTGGGCAACAGAGTGAGACCTTGTCTCTACTAAACATAAAAAATTAGCTGTGTATGTGGCATATACCTGTGGTCCCAGTTACTTGGGAGGCTGAGGTGGGAGGATCATTTGAGGCCAGGAGTTCTAGGTTGCAGTGAGCTATGATCACACCACTGCACCACAGCCTGGGCAAAAGGGTGCGAACCTGTCTCAAAAAAAAAAAGACTTTTTTGATTTTTGTTTTGCAAAAGTACCAAAATCTATATTACCATTTATTATTCTTATTTCTATAAAGTAAATTTGAGTATTGGGAAAATTGATCAAAATACAAAATTTCATATGGGGTTTAGTACTTTGGATCCTTCATCTAAATTTCAGGGAAGTCAGAGCTGGGAATGGTGGCTCACGCCTATAATCTCAGCCCTTCGAGAGGCTGAGATGGGCAGATTGCTTGAGCCCAGGACTTTGAGACCAGCCTGGCCAACATGGCAAAGCCTCCTCTCTATAAAAAATATAAAAACTAGCCGGACATGGGTAGTGGTGCACACCTGTAGTCTCAGCTACATGGGAAGCTGAGGCAGGAGGATAGTTTGAGCCCGGGAGACAGAGATTTCAGTGACCCGAGATCATGCCGTTGCACTCCAGCCTTGGTGACAGAGCAAGACTGTCTCAAAAAATAATTAAATAAATAAGTAGATTTCAGGGAACTCAGAGAACGAGAAAAGCTGTTTCTTTCGTTTAGCATTTGTTGTGTACCACCAGGAGTGAGGAATGAGTCTGGGCACAGGAGAGGCCTATAAATAAGGCCCTACCTGTGTGAAGCTTATGGGAGGTGGACAGACAGGCCTGCAAGCAGAGAATTGCCACAGGGCGTGAAGGAGCCGGGGCAGGAGCAGCTGCAGGAGAGTCAGGGAGAGAGGATACAGCTGTGAAGCCTTCTCCAGGAGGTGAGCCCGTGTGCACAGGAAAGAAAAGCAGGCATTCATCAGGTGACAGTGTGGTTGAAGGGAGCCACACCTGCAAGAAACATGGACCCAGCAGAGGCAGGGTGCTTCTGGGAACTCTGTCTTTTAGTCTGTCGGGGGCTTTGGGCAGCAGATGGGAGGGTTGGGCTGAAGACTAAGCAAGGCCTGATGTTTCTTGCTGGGGGGTTTTGACACTTGTCTAGAAGACTTAGGGGGAGCAGTGAAGCTTTTGCAGTGGTCTGAGCAAAGGGGTGTCCTGCCTCTGACCACAGTGGGGAGGGGATGAGGCTGGCAAGGACAGCAGACTGAACCTAGGCAGCAACAAGGAGCTGGAGGGAAGTGGCTGGGCCCATCCCTTAGAGGGCTGTGTGGGGGCTGTGGGGTGTGGGAGGGAGAGAGAGGAAGGAAGCCCAGGGTAGATTCTGGGTTGCTAATTTGGGGGCTGGGAGGATAGCGTGTGACCTAAACAGAGAATCAGATTTAGATGGAATTACATATACTAAGCCTGGGGATTTCACATTCATTTGCTGCTGCTTTACCAGTTGAGGCTTAAGGATGGGAGGCCCAAAATTTCTGGTCATATTATTTGCATGTGCCCAGACTGGGGTTAACAGAATCCGACACAGTGAGGGTTCCTGAATCAGACTGCAACAGGGAATGAATGCCGTGGGAGACTGGAATATTCGTAGATATTCATTTAGCGATCTCTATAACGGTCAAGACAAAGATACACACCCCAAAGACTGGAAGAATTAGCCAGTGGAATTTGAAATTAAAAACTTTTGCTTCAGAAAGGTCAGGAAAGCCCTGTTTAAAATTTAAATTTTGCCATCTAAAGGCAGTGCAAGTATGGATTAGGAGAATGTGGGGTGACCCTTTTCTTCCTTTGAGAGTCAGTTCCTGCCAGACACAGGAATTGTCCACTTGAGTCACAGGGTGGAGAGGAGACCCCTCAGTCCTGTCAGTAAGGTGGGAGAGAGCATTGCCACGTGGCTACCATGAACACCATTTCAGAATTCATTTCTCTCTTAACTTCCTTTGTGCCCAGATGCACTTGAGATTCACTGATGTTTTCTTTAGACCGTGGAGCTCGCTTCAGCAGTTAGTTTCAGCTGTTGGCTCTACTGGCATTATGTTTTGACTTAACGTTTTCTGAAGACACGTTTTCTGTTGTTTTTCATTGTTCTTCTTGTCTGGCTTCAGGCTACTGCCTTCAACCTAGCCAGAGCTGAGTGGTGTCTTCAGCAGTGAGGTAGCTCCTAGAGGCCGCCACTGTCTTGTTGTGTGACTTTGGCTAATTTCTTCACCTTTCTGTGCCTCAGCCTCCTCTTCTGTAAAATGGAGAACATGGGAGTGTCTACCTCATAGAGTTACTGTCAGGTTTCAGTGAGTTAATCTACATGAAACAATAAGGATAGAGCCTGACACAAAATCACACTCAACAGGTTTTTGCAATTATGATTACTTGACCCAGTAGGAGAAATGAAAAAACACAACTGACTTCCTTCTAAGGACATGCCCAAGAATCCAGTTTTAGTAACTTTGAAGGCATTGTTTTTCACAGAAAATATCTCCTGCCAGATTTTTTCATGTGTTTGCAGCTTAGCTTTAACAAGGAGCTGAAGGACGGCCAGGCAGCAAGGGGTGGTGAGTGCTGGTAGAGTGTGAGGAGCCCGCCCAGCCTTCCTCCCTGTAATTAGGAGTCTGAACCATCTCTACCATCTCCCTTAGCTAATAAGAGATTTTTACATTTGCTTACCTCAAAGTGACCTGTCTGGGTTTTCTTTTCTTGTGGCCCCCACTGTAGGTTTTTGGAAGAAGCTGACTGCCTGAAAAGAAATTACAAAACATGAAAATCGCTTTGAGGTGACCAACAAGTCCAGAGGCCCCGAACTCCTCCCAAGCTGGATCTGGGGTGTAAGCGCTGTAACTTCAGGTAACAAAGAAGTGTCCCCTCTCCTGCCCCCGGCAACTGATAATTATTGGTAGCTTGCATAACATTTCTTCCTTTAGGAAGTGTAGTTTCTTCCAGGAACTCTGAAACTTGGGATATTCCACCTCATGTGGTTGTTTGGGTGGTCAAAAAAGGGAGTAGGGGATTCTGGAGGTACTTCCTGTCTGCCACCTGGCCCAAAGGGGCCAGGGCTCTGTACTCATTTCCTGGCCCTGCTTCTGTGAATGTTAATGACAAAATAACAACAATGGCACCCACTCAAAAGGGTCTTTCATGTGATTAAATAATCATGAAATACTTCTTGAAGGATAAATCAGAGAGAACAGCTAGGAAATGTTTGCAAATAAAGAGCAGCAAGAGAGGAACTATTTGTTCTGCTAGCTGGTCAAATGTATTGTAAGGCACAGTCATCAAAACGGTATGGTACTGTGATGGAGATAACTAGATCAGAGGAACAGAATAGAGAGTCCAGAAAGAGGTGATAAATCGATAAAGGGGTATTTCACATTAGTGGCAATGGGATGGATGAGCTAGCAAATGGTGTTAGAAAAATTTTCTATGCATTAGAGGGATGTAAGAAATTCCTAAGCTTAGGTAGTGTACCAAAATCATTTCCAAATAGCATTAAATTAAAAAATCCTTAAAATCTTAGTAAAAAGAAGAGAATATTTACATTATTTGTGGTAGGAAAAGGCTTTTAAAACATGTCACTTTTGGTGCCACATACAAATATTGTAAACAGTTTAAAAAAACAAAAGGGTGGGATGCGCGTGGTAGCTCACGCCTGTAATCCCAACATTTTGGGAGACTGAGGCAGGTGGATCGTGAGGTCAGGAGATGGAGACCATCCTGGCAAACATGGTGAAACCCCATCTCTACTAAAAATACAAAACTTAGCCAGGCGTCGTGGTGGGCGCCTGTCATCCCAGCTACTCGGGAGGCTGAGGCAGGAGAATCACTTGAACCCGGGAGGTGAAGGTTGCAGTGAGTCGAGATCGCACCACTGCACTCCAGCCTACGGACAGAGCGAGACTGTCTGAAAAAAAAAAAAAAAAAAAAGTGGAAAATGTGTTTACATCAGCAATGAACAAAGAATTAATATTCTTAGTATATGAATTCTTTCATTCAATATCTATGTATTGAGCACTTGGTATGTGCTAGAAAGTATTCTGGGCACTAAGGGCACAAGCAGTAAATAATTTCCTTGCTCTCCAAATACTTAGACCCTGATGGAGAGAACAGCCAGTGAATATGGTAGATTATTGTAGGTCACATTTTGCTAAGGGCTAAGGACAAAACATTAAGCAGGGGACTGGGTTAGGGAGGTTTGGTAGGGTTTGCATCATATGGATATTCAAGGGAGCTTCACTGATGAAATGACATGGAAGTCCTTGAATGTTGAGCTGATAGCAGATTTGCTGTTTTTGGAATGTTAAGCTGATAGGATTTGCTGATTGGGTTGAATGCAGGTTGTGAAAGAAAGGAGTCAGGGTGGCTTCTAGGTTTGGGGCCTGGCAACCAGAAGGATTGACATAGGAGTGACTCAGAGGCTTGGCTTGGAGAGAATTAGAGTTTTGGTTATGGATATTTCAGTTTGACATCTCTCTTACATATTCAAGTGAGGATGTCAGGGAGGTGACTGGATATAAAAATCTGTAATTCAGGGTGACATCTAGGCTGGAGATATAAATTTGGGAGTTGTCACAGTGTTGATAATATTTGAAAGAATGACACTAACTAGAGTCCCTAGAGAGCATGCATGGACAGAGGAGAGGGCCCAGGACATCCATGGGACCCTCTCTTTAGAGTCGAGGGAGATGAGGAGGAGCCAGCCAAAGGGAGCAAAATGGAGTGACTGAAATGAAAGGAGTCCACAAGAAAGGGGATCTCCCAAGGCAAAAGACAGTGAGAAGGGTGAGATCAGCTCTACCGGATGTGCTGATGGGCAAGGAGAGAGGGTATGGAGAACTGGCCATTGGATCTAGCACTGGGGAGGTCACTGGTCAACCCAACAAGGGCTGTTTCCTGGGAATGATGGGGAGAGAACCTGATTGTAGTTGGGTTACTGAGAATAAGAGGAAAAGAACTGGAGACAGAGAAATGGGACAATAGCCGGAGGAGGATGGTATTCAAATAAGTTTATTTTTCCCGAGATGAGAGTTACATAACTCCTGTTTTTACCCAAACGGAAATGATTCAGTAGCATAGGGAGAGTGGATGGTGCAGGATTGGGCTGGGGTGAGGGTTCTGAAATGGTGGTCTCGAGGAGGTGAGAGAGGTAGAATCCAGCATGAGCTGGGGAGGGGGTCCTAAGCAGGAGCATCTTTTCTCAGTTCACTAAGAAGCTTAGAGTCATCAGCAGAGGGTGGAGACTGAGGACGTGTTGGAAGTTTGAGGAGAGAGGACAAAGCATGAAGTCCTTCGTAGCAGAATGGGAAAATAAATGGCCAGGAAATGCAGGATCGCTGGGCAGCATGCAGACCTCTGAGGGGTATGTTTTCTCCAGCCATGTCCCGTTACACAGGAGAACAATGAGGTACGAGGCCGTTGTGGTAGAAAAACAGAACATGGACAGGCACAAGGGAAGACAGAGAAACATCTGTAACCAGAAGAGCACCATCAGTAATAACTGAAGAATACAAGTAAAAACAGTGAGGTTTTCTTTTCTCTTCAGACGGGCAAGAGCTCCCATTGGGGTTAGAAATTATTGTCGCTTTTCTGGAGCACAGTGTTACAGTATGTTCCAGAATACAACATGTGTCCCCTTTTGACCTGTCAGTCCCACTTTTAGAAATTTATTCCAAGAAATAATCGCTCAAATGTAAGGCAATATACACAAAGATATTCACACAGCAGCACTTATCAAAGTGAAAAATTGGCAATCATCTAACCGGAGGCAATGGATTCACTCACCTGTCAGCATAACAGTGACAGTGGGACACAGTAGCTCACACTCACCCTCCTGTTTCAAGGGCCGGTTTTGCAGATGAGGGAACTTGGGTCCAGAGCGGGGTCTTGACAGCTCCAGTCTTACTGCACAGAGCTCAGACCCCTTGGCTATAGGCAGGCACCCTGCCCAACCTCTCCAACTGGGCTTGTAGTCATAATCCCTCGCAAGGAACTTAGCCCCTTTTCGAGGGCTGGTTTGCTTAATGCTTTTAAAATACTAGTTCTCAAAATGTTTTACAAATTTGTTTACATTGTCTTCATTTCATCATTTGTGGCTTTCCTTGCAAAGGATGCTGACAGTTGGGGGACAGCAGACAGATTGCCTGAGCTAGTGATAGAGACCATATTTTCTTGATTCCCAAGTAAGACTTACAGTGGAAGAAAGGCTATTTTCTGCTTTCTTACAGTGTTTACAAAAGTCATAACATTTGTGAGGATGATCTGGGTGCAACATCTGTCACCCCATTGATCACCAGGGTTGATTGGGCTGACCTGACTGGCTAGGCGGGTGTCCCCTTCCTCTCTCACCACTCCATGTGCATCCCTCCTGAAGCTGTTGTGCTCAAAGAGGATGACCATCCCTGATAGAGGAGGACTGGTCTTTGGTCAAGGGTATATGAGTAGCTGCATTCTTCTGCTAGAACTTCCAAACAAACTCTCAGAAGTCATAACAGAAGTACAAATATAATAAAGAACTTAGCATTTATTTGTTTCCTTGATCATATGTTTATTGATTAGAAGAAAATAAAATTAGCGACCAGGCATGGTGGCTCACACTTGTAATCCCAGCACTTTGGGAGGCTGAAGCAGGTGGATCTCTTGAGGCCAGGAGTTCAAGACCAGCCTGGCCAACGTGGTGAAACCCCATCTCTACTAAAAATACAAAAATTAGCCAGGTGTGGTGGTATACACCCCTTTAGTCCCAGCTTCCCAGCTATTTGGGTGGGTGAGGCATGAGAATTGCTTGAACCTGGGAGGTGGAGGTTGCTTTGAGCTGAGATTGCACCACTGCACTCCAGCCTGGGTGACAGAGTGAGACTCTGTCCCAAAAAAAAAATACAATAAAGATAAAATTAGCTTTGCTGGTGGAGAAAAGGGAGAAAAAATAATTAGCATTGTCAGAGAACATCGGGGATATTTGGTCCCCTCAGTGGGAATAGCCCTGAGTTGTCACTGCTGGAGCTTCTGGTTTTAGTTTAGTTTTTTGACGCCACAGCACAGGGACCCAGGAGAAGCTGTTAGCTTCTCTAGGCTTTTGTGTCTTCACCAGAGAAATGAGCGGGTGGGCTTAAATTACCTATGAAAACTTGTAAAATAAATATGATGCTCTTTCCATTCTACCATGTGCCTGTTCTGGGTCCAGGGGTGTGAGAGATGTGTTAGGGCTGCTGTAAACCAGCCCTGGGTCTGCCCCTACCCCCAACCTCCCGCCTCTGCCAAACCCCCAAGCACCACCCTGGGTTCTCCACTGCTTTAGAGAGTTCATTGAAATAAACACACCTTTGTGCCTCTTGCAACAATTGCAGATCAACCAATGGCAGACCAGAGAATGGACATTTCTTCAACCATCAGTGATTTCATGTCCCCGGGCCCCACCGACCTGCTCTCCAGCTCTCTTGGTACCAGTGGTGTGGATTGCAACCGCAAACGGAAAGGCAGCTCCACTGACTACCAGTAAGGCCTTTGGGGCATGTCTTCCTCTTGTTAAACTTGGTGTCAGTTCTCGGGCATGGAACATCTAGCAGCCAACTACTGTTGCTCCTGGAAAAGGGGATGGGAATTAAAAAATCCAGCTCTAGGTGGCTACACGGTTTGTTTTTAGCTTTACCTTCCCCTGACTTGTAAGCAAGAAGGGAGCCTTCAGCACTGCTGAGGCATTTTACTTTCACGTCCCATCCCCAAAATGTTATACACCAAGAGGAAAAGAACAGTCTTAAGGCCAAGGTCTGCCTTTTACCCCTTTAACCCGTTTCTTCCTCTTCTTTCTTTGCTCCTTTGAGCAAGAGGGTTAAGTCTATGGGTGTCATCTCAGGGGGTTCAAAGAGAGCTTTGCCCGAGGGCCTCTCTGAGGAAGACAGCAAATGTCAGGTGCTTAATGAATGTTTGTGGAAGGAATGGGTGAAGGTCCTCTCTGAAAACAAGTTAGGAACATTGATATTGTCCTTAAACATTGTTTAAATTCGTATGAACTTGTTATATTAAATAGCATTTTTGTTTATTTTTAGACTTGATGACTTTTCTTTTGAGTAAGTAAATTTTCACACAGTCATCATTCTGTGTATGTATAAACACCTAGGAAATATGGCAATGTAGAACGTTCAAAGGCACATTTTATTTTGCTGAGACACCTGTGTAGAATCTTACCCAAATGTCCATTTAAGAGGTTTTCTTTTGTTTAATGAGGGAAAATCTCTGAGGAGGTATCCCCCCTACAGCAGATGTCCTTTCTGCTGAAGTTCACAGGTCGAATTTGGGGAGCACAATGGCTGGAGGTCAGATGCCCACTAGGAGATGCTATGATTAATATGTAAGTTATCCCAGATGATTAAGACAGCCAACACCCAGGGGCTGGAGAGTGGGTATGAGGGCTGTGAGGGTGCTCTTCCATAGCAGTAACTCCCCAGCAGAGAGACTGTGAGATGTTGACCACAAACCCTTTGTCTTGAGCAAGTGCTGAGGGAGCCACTATTATGTTCTAAGGCCTCTGCCATCTACACCTGTGGTTTCCAGCCTGGTCACCACCCAAGACCCCTCAGATTTCCCTTGTGGATCCTGGTTTGCTAATCTGCTGTAATTCATGGAGACTCGACTAATTAAGCAACCATAATCTCTTTCACTATCATTTTAATTTAACTGAAGTCATCTGTGACTGTCAGGCAGAGCTTTTTCTCACCTGAGATGATCATCTGTCCTCAAGGAGCAGAGAGAATTCTAGACAAAAGGGAAGGGGGTAGTTTTTGCCCTTCCGTGGGGCCTGCATGATCTCTAAACTTTAGAACTAGCTGGAGAAACCCTCTGCCTGTGAGGAACCCCAGGGCGTCTAATTGGGAACACTGTTCTAGAATCCCCATGATATGGTCCAGTGCTCCTAGAAATAGCCGTTTTTGCCCTTGGGATTACATTGTGTGAAGGGCCATGATCTCTCCTTTCCTATGGGATAAAGGAAAAAGGAGACAGGCTCAGGTGGCAGTCCATGTTCTCCTGATAAATATATGGATTGGAGAAGGCCATGAGAAGGATTTGGAACTCCTTCCTCTGGGGATTTCAGTCTATTTTCTTCTACTGAACCACAAGATGCAACGAAACCTGGATCTCTGGAGTCTGTGAAAGGGAGGGAGATCCTAGCTGTGACCCCAGGACTCTCTGTGGCCCTCATCCCCACTACTCCCCTCTATCCCAATTCCTAAAGTCTAGGGGTTCCCACCTAGCTGAGAAGCAGAACATTTGGCAGCGTGCCTTTGAAAAGTTCCTGGGGCTCTGCTCAGTACTTTATTGGTACTTTAATTCCCCCTGCTCACTTCACCCCTTCCCCGCCAGATAGATAAGTATGCACATGTATCTTTGATGCTCAATATGTTTTGCAAATGGAATAAGCTTCATTTATCCAGAATAATGGGGTGGGGGGAATGAGAGGTTATAGCTATTTTGATACTGTGGTTAATTAAGCATTTTTGTAAACTCTACATATTCCCAATTTTCAAACAATTGAAATATGGTAAAACATAAGTTAATGCACTATTGAGATAACTATTGTTTGATAATCTGAGAACTGGTCCAGGTTTTATAGTAAGTTCAGGTTAATTTCCATTTGTTTGTTTTACCCTTATACATCATTAATCAATATTGTGGCTGTTTGAGCTTTCTAATTGTTTGGTTTCTGGATAAATGAGAACCTTCTGTCTTAAGAGGCTCTTCTGTATGTCTTTATTAACATGCAGTCACATTCTCTCTTGTTTTTTCAGAGAAAGCATGGACACAGACAAAGATGACCCTCATGGAAGGTACCATGAACCTAGTAATTTGAACTTCAGCGTCCTTAGAGCCATTTGCTTTGCACTGTTACACATTCTTTCACTTGGGGCAGCACCCATGTCGTCAACTGGAGATTAGCAAGGAGGCTGTGGCCTGTGGGCTTACACTGTGTCCCTCCAACCCCCAGTCCTCTTGTTTGTCTGCAGAGAGATGACAGGGATGGGGCAGAATAAAAGAGCAGTGTGTAACTTTGCCATTCATCTCCAGAGAATTATGTTTTTATCTTTTGCCTTTTTCCTCCCCCCAGGTTAGAATACACAGAACACCAAGGAAGGATAAAAAATGCAAGGTAAGCTTAGACCTCATTTTGTCTACAAAGCGTCCTAATTCTGGTTGCTTAGAGAGCAGCTGAGGAGGCTCTGTGTGTTTGGTCCTATTGGGCAAAGAGTCCTGTTGGGCACTGTCACATCCTTAAAGAACAGGCAGGTAGCAGGCCTTGGCCAAGGTGGCCTTCTGCCCTCCATGCTCTCCATGCTGGACTGGCTTTTACTCTTTGCTGTCTAAGCACCTTTTAACCTGAAGGGGATTTGAAGGTAGCAGAAATCAATCAAGGCTCGTTTTTTCCCAGTCTTCGGTAGAGGATGTCTTCCTGACTGGAGGGCTGGGACTCGCTTCTGAAAGGGGCCCCTATTGCATTGCAAGTTGCAGCTGAATGTCCCACATGGGGCACACCGGTGCCTCAAGTACATTCTCTGCTTTGGTTCTTCCTACCTCCAGCCACAGCTGCTGACCTCTTCCCATTGGGTCCTCAGTTGTTCTGCCATTAGTACCAAGACCTTCTGAGGCTGTGTCATGACAAACTGATACAGGGGGCACAGAAATCAGCTGCCCTAAGGCTTCAAGCTCTTCCCTTGGAGGCCAGCTTTGGCAGGAACTCCCATGGCTCTGTATCTGTGGCAGCTGCAGCAAACTCAATTTCCATAGTTGCTGCACCTCCTTAGGACTGTCACCAACGGCAGGTACACATCATTCAGGGAGAGTGTGTGCCAGGGCAGTGCCACCCTGCCTCAGTGGACAGCCACTCTTGGGAGGGAGGAATGTGACATTCCTCAGAGGAGGCTCCTGGGAACAGATGTAGCATCTGCTGTACCTAGGTGGGGTCCTGGTTGATCCAGGGATGACAGCGTTGGTTACTGGGTGTCCTAGTCAGTGAAGCTGTGACTTGGAAGAAGTGGTGCCCTGCCCAGGTCACACAGCCACACAGCGGGCTCCTCACAGACCTCAGGGACAGTCCATGGGGCCCTGGGTGCTCTGCGCTATGAAGCCACCACCTCCCTTCTCTTTCCTTCCAGCCCCATTTCAAAATCCAATTTTACAAAGGCCGAAAGGAAAAGAAAACGAGGTGAAATGAACAATTCAGTTTACTCTGAAAAGACAATTTTTGTAGCTTTTCTCCTGAATTCTAAGGATGAGGTAAACATAAAAAAAACTAATACTGACCTGGCAGTGAGACCATTTTCTTGGAAACTTTAGTAGAAAAGTCTAATTTTAAACACTCTGCAAATTCTAAATTTGCCTTGTCAGATGAACATTGAAAACAGTTACAACTCATGTATTTTTGTCATCTTTTCTTGATGCTTGGTTACATGTTTTAAGAAATCATTTTTTTATATTGTTGTTCAGGGAAGCCCACAGTCAGATTGAAAAGCGGCGTCGGGATAAAATGAACAGTTTTATAGATGAATTGGCCTCTTTGGTACCAACATGCAACGCAATGTCCAGGAAATTAGATAAACTTACTGTGCTAAGGATGGCTGTTCAGCATATGAAAACATTAAGAGGTGAGACCCTGGGCTCTACTGTCCTTATGCCCTTGCCCACAAATGTTACCACCCTTGCCTAGAATGTTCCTGTCCCAAAGGCAAGTGTTTATTACTTGCAATTATGTAGCCTTGAGTAGTATGCCTATACTTTTCAGCAACAGCCGTGATGCCAAATGAAATGATGATTGAGCTTATGTGGGGTTTGCATGCAATTTTGTAGTCACCCATCCTCAAAACATAGAAACTATGTGCTTTGCATGTCTGTATATGCATGTAATCAGGCTACATGCCTATCAGAGACGATACTGCTCTCACATCTTGCCTGTGTTTGTTCCTGGATCCCACCCTTACAATTATAACACGAAGAAACATAGGTGCACACAGTGACACAGAAAAGTCAGTTTCAGTTTTTAACATGAAAATTCATCATGGTTCCTTTGAAGAGTGAGTCACGGGTTGAGGTTTCTCGCGGCATTTTGTTGTCAGGAATGAACACAGGATATTTTCATCTTCCTGGAATTTTCCCGAACCAGATCCACTCGTTGTGAGGGAGGCAGTATTTTCCTTCTTTTCTGAGTGTGGGGAGGGTGAGAAAACAGAGGCAGAAAAGTGGAAGTGACTTATCCAAACCACAAGAGAAATCTGAAATATATCAGGCATTTTAGTGAATGCTGTTCCTGGAATTTTCCATAGCTAGTCTTGGACTTTTGGAGGAAATTGGAAAGTGGGCGCTCAGTCAGATCTCTGACCTGTGTGGTAGAAGAATTGCATCTTTTTATATTTGCACCAAGCCGCCAGAAATAAGAAGTAGCTGGTTTTATCTGAAGATCATTATTCAAAAATATAAATATTGTATCCTGTGCTGGGAGAATGGCGTTTAAAAATTCATATTCACGCAGATAATATGGGTTAAATTATTATAAACTTATTTCTATTAAATTAGAAGGAAAAAAGTAGCAAATCCCAAGTTAAAGAGCAGGGACAGGGATCAATAGGATGTTTGCAACACATCCTATTCCCCTCCCTCTCCATGGTACTTTAAATTGTTATAGATCCTTTTCGTTTTATTCCTTCACTATTCTACTTGCTGTTCTACAGATTCCAAATCATTTACTGCTGGCATTTTTCTCCGTTAAGTGACTGTTCTGAAAAATGCCAGATTGACAGCCTTTTAAATATAAGTCTTATCCCCTTTCAGTCCTGGGAGCGGGGGCTGCATTTACTGAAGCAATGCATTTTTCCACATTGCCACACTCGTTTAACTTACCCCTGATGAAGAAGAACTTACATTTAATGGCTTCTACAATGTATTTACTCAGGGCCTGGCAGATTGGATGGTTTCCCAAGAACATTTAGAGTGGTGATTTGAAGGACTACGAGACAACCCATTTAATACAGATCTTAGGAGGAGGGAACTCTCTGAGGAGCCTCTACCAGTTTACTTCCTGAGCTGCCTTCTCTCTTAGAAGCATATTGTTAAACTTCCTTCTATTATCTCTTGGTTTTTCCCTGTAATGAGAAAAACAAGCTGGTTAGGTCTCCTGTGGGTAACAGTGTTCTCTTTTCCATGGAATTCTCTTTGTCTTACAGGATTCTGTCCAAAGCCAGATCTAGACCTGTCTCAGTTAAGGCCTAAACAATAAAATTGAAATACCGGTCATAGGGACTAGGCCACTTACAGAGGTTTGAGGCAGCAAGTTGGAATGAGACATTTTCTGAATATCGAGTATACTGATTCTTTCTCTTTTTCCTCCTAAGGTGCCACCAATCCATATACAGAAGCAAACTACAAACCAACTTTTCTATCAGACGATGAATTGAAACACCTAATTCTCAGGGTACGTTCAGTTATGGGATTGTCTTACATTTGTTTTTATAAATTTTTGAGTAAGCACCAGCATGTGGGAATTTGATGTTTCAACACTGAGCTTTGTTTTAGGCGTGCTTCCTCTCTCAGGTCCCTCCTTTTAGCTTATTGTTTGGACAGGCTTCACATTTCTTCCATAAAATCTTTCTCCTCCTCATTTAACCTTGTCTAGGCAAAAATGGAAGGTCTTTGCCACCGCAATTTTAAATCAGAAGAGGCAGGATTTGTAAGAGGAATTTAGCAATTACATTTCTGCATGAAGATTTTAGGAAGGGACTGAAACTGACAACAATTGAGAATTTCTCTTCACCTGATTTAACCGCTAGCACAAAGAAAGTCCACATACATCTCTACACCAAAATCCTATCAAAACAACAACACTGTGGCTCACGTCTGTAATCCCAGCACTGTGAGAGGCCAAGGCAGGCAGATCACCTGAGGTCAGGAGTTCGAGACCAGCATGTCCAACATGGTGAAACCCTGTCTGTACTAAAAAATATAAAAATTAGCTGGGTGTGGTGGCAGGTGCCTAGTTGGGAGGCTGAGACATGAGAATCGCTTGAACCCAGGAGGTGGAGGTTGCAGTTAGGTGAGATCGTGCCACTGCACTCCAGCCTGGGCAACAGAGTGGGACTGTCTCAAAAACAAAAACAGAAACAAAACTTCCAAAGACTAGTGGTTCAAAAAAGAAAAATAAATGGAAGAAATATACACTTTCACTTGCTTGATGTAAGTGGTCTCTCTGTCTTGCTAACTCTCTGCTGGGAGATGGTTGAGGTGGCACTGTGGGAACCTATCGTCTTCCATGTGGAATTAGGCCTGCACAGGGCTCTAAGTTGTGTCACACGTAAAGTGAGATTAACGTGGGAATTGAAAGGAAAGAAACTGTATTCGTAAACATGTGTTCTTGGAAATTGTAAACAGAGAATAGAAAAATATAACTAAAAGGAAGGATGCCCTCTCCTACCTCCCATGAAGTCAGGGCTGACCTTACCTACAGAATCTTCATACCCATCTTAGAGCTGAAGTTTGCAAAGCTATAGAGTAGAGGGTAGTGCATCTGGATTTCTGTATCATCACTATCCATTTTCAGCTCTCTGTAAGCCTGGCCTGTCTGCTCATTCCAGCATTCTCTATTTATCAACTCATGACGTGCTATCTCAAATTGGAAAGCATTAACCTGCAAGGACCAGAAGACCAGATGAATAAGTGTAGTTTCTTCGTTTCTCAAGTATAACTGGTCTTGAGTAGGTTATGTGGGTTTGCTGATTCACTGAGGTCAATAGGAACTAGGTTCTTTCTGTCTTTGTACTCAACCACACCAAGCTAGCATGCTAGCTTTTTTCCTTAATGTAGCCAGGTACCTCTGCCAGGTCCAAGTAGCCAGACTGACTATAAAAAAGGGGGTAAATGAGGCTCTAGTCTGGCTGTCCTTTTTATTAAGAAAGGGTATACCTTCTTGGAAGCTCAATAGTGGACTTCTGCTTATCCAAAAGTGTGTCACTTGGTCACACCTAGCTGCAGCTGCAGGGCAGGGTGCAGAAACAAGTGTATATAGATTTTCCAGCCTCCCTGGTGGACCACGACAGGCAAGAAAGAAGGGGCCTGGGAATGGTGTTGGGAATTGGCTCCCCCAACAGCGTTTGCCACACACACTTTCCACAGCCACATGCATTTGCTCGATTCCTTCCAGAAGTGACTCCTACAAGCCAATATAGCATTTCAACTGTGATCTGGTTGGCCTGAGGTTGAATGAGGCTAGTGCCTTTCTTGGCAAAAAAGCCGTCTTATTAGTACCACCTCATTTAGAGCAGCTGCAATACCGCCCCCTCCCCCAACCCTCCTGAATATGAATTATTGACTTTTTTTTTTTTTTTTTTTTTTTTTTTGAGACAGAGTTTCACTCTTGTTACCCAGGCTAGAGTGCAATGGCGTGATCTCGGCTCACCACAACCTCCGCCTCCTGGGTTCAGGCAATTCTCCTGCCTCAGCCTCCCGAGTAGCTGGGATTACAGGCACGCGCCACTGTGCCCAGCTAATTTTTTGTATTTTTAGTAGAGACGGGGTCTCACCATGTCGACCAGGATGGTCTCGATCTCTTGACCTTGTGATCCACCCGCCTCGGCCTCCCAAAGTGCTGGGATTACAGACGTGAGCCACCGCGCCCAGCTGTTAAGTCAGAATTTTTACATCTTGTATACATGCTTTTTTGAATTAAGATAAGACTTCTCTCTCATTTCTGTCAAAACCCGTTTGTTGAATGGCCCCATAGTCCACCTTGTCATTAGTAACCCTTGGAATCTTTGTGTGACTTGTAGATCCAATACATGCCTCTGTGCCTTTCTTCCTGTTTATTCATAAATTCAACAGGCATTTTTTGTATACTTACTAGATGCATGGCATTTTTCTAGGAACATCCAAATCAATGAGAAACATTTTAGGGTGGGAGCAGTATCCCAATCAAGTGAGTGATGGTCTTTTGGTTACTATTCTTAGGACACAGTTATTCAGACACCCAACTGTGTCCATCTTCTCCATCCTTTTCATCCACCCAACCTCTCCATCCTTTTCATTAAGATGTCCATGTTCTCAGAGAGGATTTGCTGAGGTTAAAATATGACCGATGTATGTAGCATCTCGAGAGCTGCCACTGGGGCCAGCTTCATGGGCACATGACCTCTGCAGTTTCACAGGGCACCATGCTTGGTTTAAAGCTCTGTCACCATCTTGAAAATCTTAATTTTTGAACAAGGATCCCTGCATTTTCATTTTGTACTGGGCCCCACAAATTATGTAGCTGGTCCTGATTCCCATACTGGTAACAGATCTGCAGCTATAGATGTGATAAGCATGCCTCTATGCCTTTCATTCTTGCTTATTCATGAATTCAACGAACACTTTTGTGTACTTACTAGAGGCTTGGCATTGTTCTAAGAACATCCAAATCATTGACATTTTAGGGTAGGATACAGACTTATTTTAAGAAAAAGAATCTATATATTTATTTCATATATGTATGTAAAATAATTATCAAGCAGAATCCTATGGATGGAAAAATTTAAAAATAAAACAAGTTCCTTTTGCAATGGCACATGCTTAATTATTTTCTTGTTGTTGCTTTTTGTAATAATTTTCTATCAGATACCCACACTTACTAGAATATGGAACAAGGATTATAATGCTATCTCAGTTAAATACTTCATCTTGGGCTTATCTTTTCTACTCCTTTGTTTTATGCAGCACTCAGGAGAGATCTGTCTTGCCTGATGAAGCTTTTGTCGCCTCTCTGGCACATGTCAGTGGCTGTGAAATACTGTCCAATCCCTTATCACTGCCAGGGGCCCAGTTCCAGGGATTTGCTTCAACAGAAAGCCAGGTCTACTCAGATGATACTCAAGACAGTTTGGCTGCAGGAACTGGACTTCTGCTCTTTCTCAGCAATGCAAAATTGACAAACTGCTTTCTTTACTAAGTGCTTTCAAAATATCTTTAATAAAGTGTATGTCAGGGGTCAGTCAACTGTATCAGTTTACAATGCCTACATATTCTACTTCTCCATGTTTTGAAAACTAGGCAGACTGTACCAGGGCCTCTGTATCATTTATTAACCTGCACTGTCTTCCCAAGCATGACCTTGCCGCTGGCTGGCCCTGTGGCTCTGTGGTGCTGGCAGCATTCTCACAGCCTCTGCTCCTTAGCTGTCCATTGGGCCCGGCTTCTTTATAGATGGTCTGCCTTCCAGGATGCTGGGGATATGGAATGTCCAGAGCCTCCCCCTCTGATGCATTCACTGCTTTGGAACCTACTGGCTTCCCCCTGGAGTGCTAAAATCACTTTACCAGTGTCGTCGGTTCAGGTCTGACCCTGCCCAGCATTACCTCCAGGGTGTCACAGGTCCCTTCTGTCTAGTCACCTTTCAAACCACGTCACCACATTAATGACAAGCCTCAAAAACACTTCTGTGAGATACAAGATTGTCTGCAAGGCAAATGAGGAAGTTATTAATACACTATTTGTTGACAGAATGAGGCTTCCAGCAGATGGTGCTTGGAAAGTTACTTCCCCCTCACTGTCATCCCTTGCCCCTGGGCCGGCTTAGGGACCTAACTTAGGAAAGGATCTTCTGCAGCTTCCTTCTGGCTAAGTAGCCTGCCAGAGTCTCACAGCAACAGTGATTCTGTTCCCCTCTCACTCATTTCTTCTGTCCCAGCACAAGTGCATGCACCATTCTTTTACCCTCTGGCATATGAATTCATTTTCTAGTTCTTTGAATTAAACTATATCATGAAGGCCCTTTTGTGGAAAAAGAGAACAGTTTCTTTGTTATTTTTCCAAAGAACAGATTGAGGGCCAGTGAATAAGGCGATAAACTAGCCCACTGTATATTAGAACCAGGTGAGGGGGGAGGGCAGGAGGGCTGAGTCATAAGAGCAAGGGCATGACAGAGTGGGGCTCATCCTCCTTGTCACCAGAAGACCCCAGCAGTAGTTTAGTGGTTGTATGCCTTGGAAGGCAGTGGGTGGAATTCACACATATGCTGACAAAACAGCCCAAGCTCTCAGGCACTATAGCTTGGGTTATTTACCTGCTTCAGTATCTTTACCAAATGTTGTCCTGTCTTAATGCCTGGTTTGATTGGAACATTTATATTTTATCCTGTATTTGAACTGAAGAAGAGGTAAGAAGAATCTAAGGGGGAAATTTTGCTTTTCTTGTCTCACTTGGAATGCAAATAGTCCATCCCTGGATGGAGGGATAACATTTGAGGGTAGTAATTCTCAGCCCTGGGTACATTAGAATCACATTAATGTGGAAGTGGGATGGGTTTAAAAAATACCCCAGTGTTTGGCTCCATGCCAGACCAACAGCATAAAAACAAAAACAAAAACACTACTCCAAATGTTGAGAACCACTGTTTAGAGAGCTCCCTGTACTTGGAGGTATTCAAGTTGAAGGCAGATGGCAGCTGAGATGTTGGAGAGGGGATTCTTCAAGAGTCCTGCCAAATCTCAGATTCTCTGACTCTCCATAGAGTTGTTACAATTAGAGCAATGAAATATGATTTCTCTGGACCATGATACCATCAAAAGAATACATGCGAGCTGAATTCTGTTTTGAAATAGAACTTACTTTAATTGAACTTTTTCACATGCAGAGACACACACACACACACTCACTTTAAATTCTCTGGAGACATTTGTTTTCCGCATCCTGCTCTCAGATTACCACTGAAACTGTGAGTGAGTGTTCCGGTGCTTTGGATGCTTAGAAGACACATCCTTTTCTGCTATCAGGGTGATAACAAATTACGTTTCCTAAAGTACGAGAAATTGATTATTCATTTCTCCTGATTAGGCAGCAGATGGATTTTTGTTTGTCGTAGGATGTGACCGAGGGAAGATACTCTTTGTCTCAGAGTCTGTCTTCAAGATCCTCAACTACAGCCAGGTATTGTTCATGCACCTGTTGGTGGTGGGCAGCCTCACAGCAGTCAGAAGTGTCACTGCATGTTTTCAGAATAATTATAGTATACAAGTCATGTGTGAACTTCTTCCAGAAAATTCTTAACTTCTTAACAGATAAATTAATTTAGACTTAGAATAATCTTGTAATATGTTCCATATTCCCCCCACTGAAAGATCGGACTCTGATCTGATCAAAAGCATTATGGCTTTCTTCTATTGCTGCAAAATAAATATCCCACAATATGTGGTGAGGACAAAGGGTGAGAGGCTACCTGGCAAGGGAGAAAGGTAGGCCAATAACACAATACCAGAGAATACCACACTTGGAAATCCACTTCATACTGTGTTTGCAGTGCTGTGTCACTTCTTAGCTCGACTAAACTTCGGCTTCCTCCAAAAATTGATGATGATAACCTATAGGATCAAATAAGAGTAGCATTTTTAAACATTTCTAGAACAGAACTTTTCAACTGTTATATCCCCCAGAGTTTTTATTCATTTATTCATTCACTCAATGACACACTGGTATTTGCATGGAAGCTTGGTAGGCAGAAGACTTGAAGAATCAAAATGACATTTATGTAAATTAGAATTAATATAAATTTAATTTTTCCAAAGATTTTTGCTCTTTTTAGTCTCAGAGCAAAGTTATGGAGGAAGTTGCTGTTATCTCTGTTAAGAGACAAGGTGACTGAAGCATATGATATGCATGACTTGCTTGAGAACAGAGAGGTTGAACAGCAGAGCTGGAGTCAGAGCCCACCTCTGTCTTCCTCCTTCTGAGGTTGTACAGAGGAATTCCAAGATTCTTGCCTTAGAAGAGCATAAACTGGCCGGGCACAGTGGCTTACGCCTGTAATGATCCCAGCACTTTAGGAGGCCAAGGTGGGCGGATCATGAGGTCAGAAAATCGAGACCATCCTGGCCAACATGGTGAAACCCCATCCCTATTAAAAATACAAAAATAGCCGGGTGTGATGGCACATGCCTGAAGTCCCAGCTACTCAGGAGGCTGAGGCAGGAGAATCACTTGAACCTGGGAGGTGGAGACTGCAGTGAGCCGAGACTGCGCCACTGCACTCCAGCCTGGTGACAGAGTGAGACTCCATTTCAAGAAAAACAAAGAGTATAAACTATTTATATAACTGAGGGTTTTCCCCTCACGTTATCAAAATCAACCTCCAGAGGCCTCCTCCTTTGTGTGTAGGCAAAGTGGTTGGACATATGTACAGGTTCACTTAGGAAAAGTTGAAGTCTCTTGCATGAAAACATAAAACAAAGGCAAAGAACATGCAGACTGTGTACGCTTCCTACATAATTGATTTTCTGCATGCAGTTGACTTGTCATGTTTCACATTTCATCCCCATAGAATGATCTGATTGGTCAGAGTTTGTTTGACTACTTGCATCCTAAAGATATCGCCAAAGTCAAGGAGCAGCTCTCCTCTTCAGACACCGCACCCCGGGAGCGGCTCATAGATGCAAAAAGTGAGTACCAGAGGGGCCTCGCATTTCTTCAGCAGCCCACTCACAGGCGGCCAGCCCTGAGTGAGCAGAGAGCGGGTGTGTGTGATGGGCTCAGCCTTTCTGGTCCTACTTCTCTGTCCTCTTTCTGGGGCACCAGAGCTATCTTTGGCTAAATGGAATTATTTATGTTCTTTTGGGTTTATTTTACATAAAAAGAACAAAAAATCTCAATGTCCAGATTTATTGAAAAGAAGATTTGTTTAGACCGGATTCTTTCTGATTTTTAGACTTTCCTTTTTTCTTTCAGAATCTAGAAATTCCAAGTTGTATACTCCTGAGTTTAAAGGGCTAAATTTTGATTTGTTCTCCCAGAACAAATGGGCTCTATTTACCTAAGTTGCACACAGGCAGCCTCATAAAAGTAAGAAAACATCAACTATAAATATGGTGTTTCTTCAACCAGTATTCCTCCTTAGATTGGCTCCCCCACCTGGCTTGCTTCTTGCAGTACTGGAACCACCATTCACATCACCTCCTCTGCCCCCAGCTTCCTGCTGCTGCACACTCCTGTGCAAGGCCCCAGTGGCTGTCATCTACTTTAGTCCTGTGGGAGGCTGTGCACTCCTTCAGTTAAGAATGAGGATTCTGGCTGGGCGTGGTGGCTCGTGCCTATAATCCCAGCACTTTGGAAGGCCGAGGCAGGTGGATCTCTTGAGTTCAGGAGTTTGCAACCAACCTGGCCAATGTGGCAAAACCTTGTCTCTAATAATACAAAAATTAGCCAGGTGTGGTGGCACATACCTGTAATACCAGCTACTTGGGAGGCTGAGGCAGAAACATTTCTTGATTCCAGGAGGCAGAAGTTGCAGTGAGCCAAGATCGTACTACTGCACACCAGCCTGGGTGACAGAGCAAGACACCGTCTCAAAAAAAAAAAAAAAAAAAAAAAAAACGAGGACTCGAGGGAGATTACCGGGCTCATTCTGGCTCCACCATTCACTAGCTGTGTGACCTTGAGCAAGTTACTTAACCTCTCTCTGTCTCAGTTTTCTCATTTATACAAGAGTACCTGTTTCATTGGGTTGTTGTGAGGATTTAAAGTGTTAATATACATAAAGCAGGCAGAACAGTTCCTAGCACATAGCAATAACAGTATCAGTGTTGCATTCACCTTGGCCCAGTGCAGTCAAGCCCTAACTAATGTTCTGCTTCCAAGCTCTCCCTGTAAAGAAACACCACCAGAGGAATCTCCTTCAAAACATTCTTTTCATTACACCACTCCTCTTGTTAAATGGAGACTTTGGTATCTGTTGTCCTTTATAGTCTAGCCTTGGCATTTTTTTAGTGACCTTAGGAGAAAAATATGAATGGAGTTTGGTTCTTGCCTTTGAGGTTCTTAGCATACAGTCAGAGAAACGAGACAGACAGAACCCTGCATAGTAATAGGTGCAGCCATAGAAATAGTGCCAGACATAGAGAACGGATGATTAATACTCATGTGGGCGCAAGGACAGGCATCACTGAGTAGATGACAACCAAGGTGGGTTTGAAAAGATGAATTAATGTTTGCCAGGTAATGAAGGGAGGAAGAGAGCAGAAGAAATAATTTGTAGACAGGTACAGGGGTGTGGAGCCATGTGGCTTGATTGGTGTTATTGGTCAAAATGTGCAGGGAGGCGAAGGGCTGAACCACGACGACCTTTTGTTCTGTGGGGACACAGTAAAGAGCTCCAAGTTGGGCGGAGCAGGCTCAGATTGGCATTCTAGGGGAGATCACAGAGCTGGCAATGTGGGAAGCAGATGGGAGGGGAGGAAGCCCGGAAGGAGTCCTGGGCAGTGGCTGTTCCTTGCTTGCGTGATGGCCATGGGTGTGCTTTCCCTTGGCTTCTGCACTGTCACCTAGCCAGTGTTTGGTAAGGAGGTGTGCACCTCAGCATCACCTGGGAGCTTTTCAAAATAGTCTTGCTCTACCTCCAGAGATTCTAATTTGGGTTTTCCAGACAGCATAGCCTAATAGAAACATAATGCAAACCACAAACATGAGCCTCATGTGTAATTTTACATTTTCTGGTAGCCAGATTTTAAAAAGTAAAAATAAATGTAAAATTAACTCCAAAATATTATTTCAGTGTGTTAATAATTATAAAAAAAAGTTCTTTCACATTCTTTTCTTTTTCTATACTGTCTTTGAAATCCTGAGTGTATTTCACACTTAACAGCACATTTCAACTCAGAAAAGCCACATTTCAAGTGCTCAGTAGCTGCATGCAACTATGGCTACCACCTTGGATAGCACAGATCTAGAACGGGGGAATCTGTAGACTGATCACACATCCAGGGGATTCTGGCCTACAAGCCACGTTGAGAACTTAAGGCAGTCCTGCTCCCTCCTTTGTTTCCCAATATCCATATCCTACTCATCCTTCAAGTGCCAGTACAAGTTCTTTCTCCTCTGGGAAGCACAGATTGTCTGCCATTTATTTGGCACTAATCATATATCACCTTGTCCTATTATTAATCTTTTCTTGGTACACCTCCATTTCCTCTTTGTAGCCATAAGCTCCTATTGGGCAAGAACCCCATGCTATATTTCATTTCATCCCCAGAGTGCCTAACCTAATCCATTTATTTAGTAGCATACTCTATGTGATTTATAAACATTTCCAGACAGACAACACACCTTTCCATGCTGCATCTGTTAAAGCCTAAAGTAGGGAGAGATACTCATCTCATGTCATCATTATAAAACAGTGAGGCAGGCAAGAAAACGCGTTGCTCAAGGTCACACCCCCCTTCCTGACAGAAAACACTGCACTCAGTTTATCATGTTTTGTGTATTGATTTGCAGCTGGACTTCCAGTTAAAACAGATATAACCCCTGGGCCATCTCGATTATGTTCTGGAGCGCGGCGTTCTTTCTTCTGTAGGATGAAGTGTAACAGGCCTTCAGTAAAGGTTGAAGACAAAGACTTCCCCTCTACCTGCTCAAAGAAAAAAGGTAACAATTTAACAGTCCTTTACAACCCTGTGACAGGTAAAGCTTGCTTTCTGCAGCAGCTCTCAGCAGGGCATTGCCTCAATGGTTTCTGGCTGGCCAGAGACGCAGGTCCCAGGACTGTAGCCAGGACTTTGCAGTCTTTCCTATGTGTTGGGAGCAGAGGAAAGAGCTGAAAAGCTTGATGGTAGAGATTTGTGGAGAGGCCTCTTCTATTTAAATTGCATTTGTTTTAACGTGACTGGGGAAGAATACTCACAGCCATGATCCTAACTGCCTCATAAACACCCACCAGTCCACCAAAATGACTCTGAGCTCACCAGTGACCTTCATGTTGCTAAATGCAATGGACACTTTTCCTTTCTCTTCCTTCTTGAAGTGTTCTCTTCCCTTGGATTCCATGAAACCCCATTCTTCCTCCTCCCGGTCCTCTGCTGCTGCAGGCTCTCTTGCTGGCTCCTTTGCTGGCTGCTCATCTCTGTCCTGGGCTGCTTCTGTCTGCAATCTCTCTGTAGGTCATGTCATCTACTCCCTTGGCTTTAAATGCCAATAACTTCCACATTAATATTTCCAGCCTAAACTTCTCTTTTGAACTCCAGATTCATAAATGTACTGCTGCTTACTAAATCAGCCTGCTTGGATATCTCAGGGACATCTCTAACAGGATACATGCAAGTAATCACCTGAGCCTCTCCTTCAGCATAAATGGCACTGCCATCCGGCTGGCTGCTCATGTTAGAAGCCAGGGGGGCACCCTCACTTCTGTCTCACCACCCTACTCCTCAATCCTGTTAGTTATGAAGTCCTGCCACAGTGAGTCCAATCTGCAAAAGTTCTCTGAAATGTTTGTCCCTTTCCATGCTGCCTACTGTCACTTGGCTCCAGGCTACCCCAACTCTCACCAAGTCTCATAAAGTGTAGACACACATGCTGTCCACCCCCAACACAACAGCTAAGATGGTCTTTTTATCAGTCCCCTTTTAAAAACCCTTCAGTGTTCCCTATTGCTCTTGAAGAAAAGTTAAAAATACTTAATGTGAGCATGCATTCCCCAACCCTGCCACTAAGCACATGCAAGCCATGCTGACTTCCTTCGATGCCTCAAGCCCCTTCTGGGCAATGCCTCTGCACCTGCTGTCACTTCCTGGTTGGAAAGTCTTCCCTCTCCCCATGAGCTCCCTTGACATGGCTCTCTCCTACTCAGACTGCCTTATGTCCCTTTGCACCCTGCTGGCTTGTTTTCTACTGCTTTCTTATACTTGCAGTTATATAGTTATTTGTGGGATTATTTGATTAAAGTCTGTCTCCTCCACTAGGCTGTAAACTCCACAAGGGCAGGTCTGATTTGTTTTTCACTCTATTCCAGTAACCAGCACAGACTCCACGCTTGGTAAACACTCCATAATGGTTTGCTTGTTGGTGAAGTCTATAGGTGCTCCACACTTAATGTGTACCAACTTGAAATCTTTTATTTCTCTCTCTCCTGTCTATTCTGTTTTCTCTCTTCTCTGAGTCAGTGAATGACACCAACAACCACCCAATCCAGAAAAGTTGAAGTCATCTTCATTTATTTCTTTTCCTTAAGCCTGATATTCATAGCAAATCCCAACAGTTTGATCACAGAAATTTCTCCTGCTTCCTTTCTCTGCTCCCTCTCATCTTCACTGCAGTGCCATAGTTCAGTCTTCCCCACCTCTTGCTGTATTATAGCCACTGGCCTCTGAACCAGCCTTCCTACCAGTTTTATAATCCCTTCCAGTTCACATGTCACCATGCCTCCTACAGCATCCAAACCATGATTCAATTTTGCTGTTTCTGCACTAAAATATCTTTAGAGGCTCTCCATTTCCTGCCTTAAAAAAAAATAGACCAACATATTGGTTAGCAAGTAATCCAAGGCCCTTTTAATCTTCCCCCAACCTGCCTTTCCAGTTTGCCCCTCACTCCCAGTACCTCCCATTTCACACAGAGCTCTTGGCCGGTTCCTATATAGGCTGTGCCTCTGTGCCTTTGTACGTCCTTGGCCTTTATATGTTCTAGTCCCTCAGCCACTGCTCATCTTTCTTGATCCATCTCCTCCACTGGTTTTTTGGGGAGCCTTCCTCTCCCCACATAGAGTTAGATATTCCTTCCTTGGTGTATGTAATGAATGCCCATGGTATAACTGGCCCTTCTTAAGCATACTGACACTGGATGGCAGTTGTTTATTTTTCTTTCTGTCTGCCCGTTTCACTAGATATTCACTTCTGAAGAGTGAAACCTAATTTTTTTTAAATTTTTTGACTCCTTACCTAGATCCCACCCCATCATCGGCTGTGTACACCTCCATGACCCAAACCTAGTGCTGACACTAACCACGAACTTTGCTTTTAGCAGATCGAAAAAGCTTCTGCACAATCCACAGCACAGGCTATTTGAAAAGCTGGCCACCCACAAAGATGGGGCTAGATGAAGACAACGAACCAGACAACGAGGGGTGTAACCTCAGCTGCCTTGTCGCAATTGGACGACTGCATTCTCATGTAGTTCCACAACCAGTCAATGGGGAAATCAGGGTGAAATCTATGGAATATGTTTCTCGGCACGCAATAGATGGGAAGTTTGTCTTTGTAGACCAGAGGTAAGAGACTACATATTACCCTTGAGCAATGATAGTAGAGGAATTTCAACCCTGATCTAAAAAGCAGAGAAGACCAGGCCATCAGCTAGCTTTTCTAAGAATAAAGAAAGAAACAAAGCTGGACGTGGTGGCTCACACCTGAAATCCCAGCAATTTGGGAGGCCAAGGTGGGTGGATCACTTGAGCCCAGGAGTTTGAGACCAGCCTGGGCAACATGGCAAAACCCCATCTCTACTAAAAATACAAAAATTAGCCAGGCATGGTGGCACACACCTGTAGAAACATCTACTCTGGAGGCTGAGGCAGGAGGATCACCTGAGCCTTGGGAGGTCAAGGCTGCAGTGAACTGTGATTGCACCACTGCGCTTCGAACTGGGCAACAGAGTGAAACTGTTTCAACAAAAAGAAAGACAAGTGATGGGAGTCTCTGTTTAAAAATGAGATTCAATAGGATATCATCATAAATACAGAGATTTTTCTGTCATTCTTTGGCGTATGGAGATAAGTGGGGTGGCTTGATGTCCATGGCTGAAAGAAAAACAGTAGGCATAGCATGCTGTCTTCAATCTGTGGAATGCTCCAGGACCATTATTGTGATTGGAATTCTTCTGAGTCTAGGACTTGGAAGCAATTATTTAGTCCTAAGTTGTCCAATAAAATACTCATTGGCCATGGTAGCCTCCTATGTGGCTAATGGCACAGACATAGAACAATTCCATCATCACAGAAATTTCTGTTGGACTGCATTGATCTAATCCAACCTCCTTATTTTATGGATGAAGAACAGAGGCCTAGCCTGGGGACTGGCCTCCTGTAGGATTCACAACTAATTGGACAGACCTAGACCCAGGTGTCCTAAATTTACTGCTGCCTACTGCTTTCCTTCAGAATATGCACAGGCTAATAATTTTTCTGGCTACTAGAGACAGCCACAACATGCTGGAAAAGGAGACAACTACTTTTCAAGGTTCTTGTGGCCTCAGCTGCTGCAGCTTCTGACATTCATTCAGTTATCCTGATGAAAAGCAGGCAGCAAAAAACAGAATCCTTGCACTGAGATTTGGATTTCTACCACATTTTAATCTAATTCATGTGGTTACTATTATTATTTTTTAAGGATCTCAGTCTGTCACCCAGACTGGAGTGCAGTGGCACAATCTCGGCTCACTGTAGCCTTGACCTTCCCGGCTTCAAGCAATCCTCCCACCTCAGCCTCCCAAGTAACTGGACCACAGACATATGTCACCATACCCAGCTCATTTTTCTGTGTTTTTGCTAGAGACAGGGTTTCGCCATGTTGCCCAAGCTAATCTTCAATTCCTGAGCTCAGATAATCTGCTCACCTCGGCCTTCCAAAGTGCTGGGATAACAGGGGTGAGCCACCACACCCAACTAGTTACCATTTTTAAAGCCTCCTCAGGTTTGATTTCTTGTGATAATAGTCCTTTGCAAGGCTTCTTTGCTTTGTTTTTCTCTAGTTTTATAGCCTTGATTAAATTCAGATGCCTGGAAAAAGGAGAAAACAATCCACACAGCGAGCCCTCTGAAAATGTATCCAGCTATTTGCCTCCAGCTTTGACCTTGCTCTCCTAGCCTATCACAGGGTTTAGTCGTTGCACAGTTGCAATTAATCATCTGAATAGCTTTTTCTTCTTTGAATATTCCTTTATTCCCTTTTAGGGCAACAGCTATTTTGGCATATTTACCACAAGAACTTCTAGGCACATCGTGTTATGAGTATTTTCACCAAGATGACATAGGGCATCTTGCAGAATGTCACAGGCAAGGTAAGCTGGGATGTATAAAAGATCTTCAGTTTAAAGGGTCTCCTTGCTTTTAGACTCGTCCACATGACCTCCCAAGGAAATCTGTCACTGGGGATGTAGGAGTCAGTCAGCCTAGGATTCTTTAGGTCAGAACTATCTGTGCGAAGAGGAACCTGATGCCTGCAGGCACTGTTTATCCCCTTGTAGATGCCCTCTGCTGACTGCATAGCAGTTTTCTGTACATAGGCAATGGCAGTTTCTGAAAGACATCTCTTGTTCAGAGGATTTTCCCAGACCCATAAAGATTTAGTATGGTCCAGACTGATCTGATTCTCTTTTCCACTCAAACTTGCACTGCCTCCTATATTTTCTGTTGACTAATGCTGTGACCCCACGTGCAGCCTCCTGAGAGAGACCAACATTGACCCCTTCTTTCACTGTGTCTCCACCAGATCCTGTTCATTTACCTCAGACATACCTTTCCAAAAGTCTACTTTTTACCATCCCTACTGTCATCGCCCCGGTTCAGGCCTTTGTGCCTACCTGGAGACCTGTGATAGACTTCTCAGAATCTCCCTGCTCCCTCCCACCCCTGGTTCATTTTCCACAGTTATCTCACTTATCTCCAGATAGGTTGAGCCTGATAACATCAGGCTGCTTAAAAACCTCCTGCCTTTAGACTCAAGCCCAAATGCCTTTGACAGGCATGCAGATGTGAGACCTTCCACTTCCTGGCCCCAGCCCACCTCCTCAGTTTCAGTCCCAATTCCTGTCTGCAGAGGCCTGTGCTCCAGCTACACCGACCACCTTACTGGTCCCTCCCCCACCAGACCCTGCTGCTCCTCAGGCACTGCTGGGTTCTTCCTTCCCTCCTTTTCTTGGCAAACTTGTGTTCATCCCTCCAGGCTCTGATCTGTTCTCCTTGTGTAGTCTTCCCTCACTCCTCTCCTTGAGGGCAGAAGTCATAGCCTGTCTCATCTTCTATCTCCAGTGTCTGGCACATGAGAAGTGCTCATTACATGTTTGTTACATGAAAAAATGAGTTTGAATAGGTGAGTGGCCTCTGTTAATTTGGATATTCTTAGAAATGAGATAAGTTCTGTATTGCCCTTGGGCTTTGTGATGGGGACAGAGCATGATGCTTTGGACAGTGCCTTCTCATTTGCTGGTGGACATGTTAGAGCTGATTCCAGTTAGATATATAACATGAGGTTAGTAATTCCCTACAGCCTTAATTTCACAGACTATGGAAAATTCTGACAGCTTCACAAATGAATTGAAAGGCCCTAAGTTAGACCCTCACAAACAACCTATTTCCTAAGTGTTGACCATGGGGTTTCCTTGGCTTACTAAAAAGCATGTCATTGGAACTCAAGTACCTTTAATATTTTGTGTTGGATGTCTTGTTTAATACGTTGGTCTGAGAAAACAACAATGTCCATGTTTTATTTACATTTTCAGTTTTACAGACAAGAGAAAAAATTACAACTAATTGCTATAAATTTAAAATCAAAGATGGTTCTTTCATCACACTACGGAGTCGATGGTTCAGTTTCATGAACCCTTGGACCAAGGAAGTAGAATACATTGTCTCAACTAACACTGTTGTTTTGTAAGTACTTTTCCTATATTTGAAGCTCCCCTTGCTCCAAAGAGATGCCTAAGGCTCCTTATCTGGGAAAGGGGGTGCAGGCAACAGCCAGTATCACATCCTTTAATGCCATCTTGCTAATACCTATGAAGTTCAGGATTGGCAGAAGCTGGAAAGGATTGTTAACAAAGGACAAGCGTCAGTGCTCTACCATGCAGGCCCCAGCTTATGAAATTGCTCCAGGAAACAGCAACCCTTCCTTCCAGATAAAGCAGCCAGTCTTTGAATTCCACAGGCCTGGCACCCTAAGGCATCCACTTATGCTGCTATGGAGGAAGGGGTTGATAATCCATGAAAGGCTCATGCAGGCACTAGCTCACACTGGCCTTGGCTGAGGATGGGAGGTCTCTGTGCCTACCAGGCAGGGGGCCCAAGCATTGGCAGCTGGAATGCCATCTCAAAAGGCCTCTACCTGCTAGATGAGCAGAGGGAGGTGAAGGAGCCTTTCTTTGGTCAGGCCTGCTCCCCACTCTTCCTTTCCCATAGCGTCCAAAACCCTACCTATGGTTAGAGCTGCATGAGGGGCCAGGGCTGGGTGCACTGCAGGCTGGCAGGAAGAGGTGCTGTAGTGATGGCACTAGGTTACTGCAGCCACCACCTCTGCTGAACTGCGTCCCACATGTCTTAGGAAGGCCCAGGCAGGGAGTGGGGCCAAAGACTGGGATGCTATCCATTATATTATCAGTGAGGAGACCTGTTCACCCACTCAGACAGACATTTCATTTTCTGGCCTGTCCAGGTCCAGAGTGGACACCGGACACCTTGGCCAAGTTGAAAGGTGTATGGTTCTGAGCAGGCCTGACTCACATTTCCTTATTGCTGGGATGTTCACAGAGCCAACGTCCTGGAAGGCGGGGACCCAACCTTCCCGCAGCTCACAGCATCCCCCCACAGCATGGACAGCATGCTGCCCTCTGGAGAAGGTAACTATGTGCTGCTGGGGCCTTGGAGCTTGCTCTTGAGAAGCTTGGGGTCAAATATCTTTCCCAAAGTATTCAGGGTCCCCTCCATTCCTATTCTGTGAATCAAGGGAGGCCTCAAGGGGATGATGTGAAGATCTCTCCATGAATGCTGAGGACACTGTCATGTCACTTTCTTTGTTGAGCTGGAATACTAGGAGCTTACTGCTGCCCTTCCCAAGGCTGCCGGCCTGTGGAAGCCCTTGAACTCGCAAACTCCCTGCTCCTTTTGTGCCTTCCTCCTGTGTTGTCCAGTGGCCATGATGTGAAGTGCTCTTTGGTGACTGTCACAGACTCCTGTATTTGGCAGGAAGGTATCTGTCGGCACCAGGGTGTGTGCCATACCCAGTGGGCTCCCTTCTCAGGCTCAGCCTTGGCCCTGGCCCCTGCTGTCCACACTGGACTCATCCTTCCTGAGACCATCCCCACATGCATGGCAGCAGCCCCCATCAATGTCTCCATCAGTCATCTCAATTGATGACTCTCACATCTACATCTCCAGCCCCAGTCTCTCTCCCAAGCCCCAGATCTGTCTCTCCAAATGCCTCATAGACAGAACCACCTGAAGTCCCAGAGGCACCTGAAATTCAGAATATCCCAAACTGCTTTTCTATACTCCCCTACTTGATTGGTTGTTAATGCCAGAAACCTGGCTGCTGTCTCTCCCCCACTGCACCTAAATGTGAAGTCTTAAACCTTCTGTCTCTTAAACTTTGTCACCACTGTTGCCACTTCACCCTCTTCATCTGCTACCTGGATTATTGCAAATCACTTCACAATTCAAGTCCCACTCTTACCACCCCATCCTCCATTGTAGTTTATTCTTCCTGCCGTGGACTTTCTAATAACCCAGATCTCGTTTGTGCCTTTTCTGTGTATTGTACTCTGGCACTCCTCATTCCCTTGTGGAAACTGTCCAAATTCATTAGTATGGCATCCAGGAGGCCCCTCATGATCTGACTGGTACCTACTGCCCCAGTTTCATCTATCATGCTCTCATCATCATTCATGATGAATTCCTTAGAATCTCCCAAGTTTTGTCCTGCCTTAGTGCTCTTGCACATGTTGGTTGCTGTGCCTGGAATGCTTTCCCCACCTTACCTCTCTGCCAAAGCTAATTCATACTCATCTCTCAAGACTCAGCTTGGAGTTAACTTGTTCTAGGAGCTGCACCTGGCCCCAGATGAGTTGGTTGCCTCATGCTTGCCTGTCAAACTTACTACATTTTGCTTTGTCCATTGGTCATCTTGTTGGTTTCTTTGTTAGACTGTGAGCTCCTTGAGGGCAGGGACTTGTCTCTGTAACCCTGGCACATACAGTGATCTTCAATAAGTGTTTTCAGTGCATGATGGGAAAAAACTGGCCTCGGATCCTAGAAGGAAACTTGAGGCTTTTCCTGTTAGAATGCCTTTTCCTGACAAGCTGTGGCCTGAAAGTCCCTCAAGGTGCAGCTCTGATCTTGAACTACTAGTGGATCATGGGATAAACTGGTTTTACTTTAATACGTAATAGCATTTCTTCCTCAGTTTTCCCCTTTCCTACTCTCAGATTCCTTTGTTGTAGGTGGCCCAAAGAGGTCCCACCCCACTGTTCCAGGGATTCCAGGGGGAACTCGGGCTGGGGCAGGAAAAATAGGCCGAATGATTGCTGAGGAAATCATGGAAATTCACAGGCAAGTAACACCTTCTAGTTCCTCTGTTAAACCAGTGGTTCTCAACCCAGGGCAATTTTTTCTCTCAGCGGATATTCTGCAATGTCAGGAAGCATTTTTCATCTTCACAGCTGGGTGGAACATTGCTACTCATCCTATGGATAGAGACCAGGGATGCTGCTTGCTAAACATCCTGCAATAAACAGGGCAGTCCCCCTTCTACCCACCTCTAGCAAAGAATTATCCAATCCAAAATGTCAGTAGTGCCTAGATTAAGAAATCCTGCCTTAAATAAAGAAGCTAAACCAAAATAGGCCAGAGCTAAAGAAAATACTTAAGGAGATTTAACTTTCTTACAGCTCAAGGAGCTTCCCAGTGCAGACGGATGTATCTTTACTTTACAGCACTGCAGGAGTAGAGCGGTGAACCATCAGAGTGATCTGGACCTTAATAAAACATTCACTTATTTCAATCAAAGAGCTGCCCAGGGTTAGTAGTAGATACCAAGCAGATCAGCTAGTTATTATTAGCTGTCTTGGGGGAGACTTCCTTTCCAAGTGAAAGAGAAGGAGCTTAGAAGCAGTACACCTGGGTTTGAGTCCTGGGCAGGTCTCTCTACTTGGCTCTGCTGAGACTTACTTAACCTCTTGCTCTCTGTTGACTTAAACCATAAAAAGAAAGCACTGTTTCCCAAGGATTGTGTTAGGATTGTGAGGGCACTCAGGAAAAGTTCCAGGAACAAAGCCTGACATATAGTGACTGCTTAAAAATCAATTAAATCTGTCTTAAAGAGAAGTCATTGAGAGAAGCAGTTATCCTAAGTCTGACCAAATTTGGGAAATAGAGAAGGGGGTAACCAGATTCTTCAGAACGCAACTTAATGTAACATAATGATAAGAAAAGGAGGAAAAGACTGCTGCCACTGGATTCTCTCAGGAGAATTAAGAGGCTGGTCTGTTTTTCAACTGGCCATAAAGGGGCTGTTATCCTCATAGGTAACACAGTTCTGTTTCAACCCCACAGGATTAGTGGGTGTGACCTCTGCATCAGGAAGGAGATATGAGGGTAGTGTGCAGTGTAATCAGGTTTAGTCCCTATACTTTGCATTTTCATACCCTATACTTTGCTTGAGACTATCCAAGAACAGTATCAAACAGTCCTTTACTGCAGGAATCCTAAAATCTTTTAGAGGTCGATTGTCTTTATGATAATAGGGAAAAGGGAGAGAGGGCATCGGCCAAAGCAAGCAAAGGAGGAAAGATTTGAACTTGGCCTTAGCCAGGGTTTGTAATGAGAGTGGATGTTCCCTCTAGAAAAGCCAGGCATATTCTTGAGTGGGCACGTGAGTGGTAAGTTCAGGGTCAAGAAACAAGCTACCTAACTGCGCAGTCTTTGTGTAGGAAGGAGCCACAGAGCTATGATGGGAGACTGTTAAGAAACCCAAGAAATGACATTGTGCCGTTTGGACTGGAAGAAAACTCTAAGACCTCATTTGTTGTAGGATGCTAAACAAGCATCCAAAGTCTTGTGTTACGCTTTGTGGAAGTTGCATTGGAATAGGGAGAAATGAAGGTGGTCATGTTTGATAACCCAGGAACGAGGCCTTGTCCTACAGAGGTGACACTGCCAAAAGAGAAATCAATAATCTAAGGTCTAGGGTTTCATAATGAAATCAGGAATGATGACACGGCAATTCCAAGATGAGAAACCTGGGAAAATAGTGGTTTCATAGACATAAGTAGGAAAAGGTGGGGGACACTCAGTAATTTTTCCATAAGCAATTAGCAGACATTTGTGCATGCTGAGAATACATGATATATAGTTGTAATCTGCCATTAAGAAGCTTATCCAGAAAGAAAACTGGTTCACTCACAAATCTAGAGAACTAGGCAGTACAAGAACCAAAAGACTTATGGGCAGTGGAGGAGTGTTCTCGGGGTCACCCAGAAGCTGCATTCATCCATGTAGAAGCTGAGAGTCCTGTGGTTACACAACTGGCATCACACTCTCCCTAAACTCTAGCTGCAGTGCCAAGCAATGGCTTCTTTCCTGAGGTCCTTCAGCCTGACAAGTATTTGGGTGGATTTACAGTTCTAAGTCTTCCCTTCTATAAATTATCTGAGGGATATGCTAGATAAGAAAGGCTGGGACCCATTTTTCATCAACTGCTACCTTAGAAGGCTCCTCTTACTGTTCTTTCTACCTTTTAGACACTGGTGCCCTCCATATCCTAAGAGTATTCACTAGCTAAACTGTTTGTAGGGAAGGGGATAAATTATTTGCTGTGGATCAAAGATGGAGGTTGAACGCAGATGGTCTTCTCCAACTCACCTGGATTCTTTGAGGAAATAAAACTGGCCACTTACTTGAAATTCACCACCTTAATGCAGACTTCAATCCAAGGACTTTGTCCGTGAGATGCTTGACTTTAGGGACTACATTTTAGATCAGGTGCCTGTAGAACAAATCCAACTTGTCACCTGTTTTTGTAAATAAAGTTATTGGAACACAGTCACACCCATTCATGTCTGTGGCTGCTTTCAAGCTGCAGTGACAGAGTTGATTGAGCATTTGTGACAGAGACCATGTGGCCTAGAGAGCCTATTTTCTGGCCTTTACAGAAAAAGCACACCAAACCCTGTCTAGATCTTCATCCCCTTTCTCACCTTTACCCCTTAACAAAACACACACACTCCACTGAAAAAAGAAAAGGCAGTGTAATTCTCTTTTCTGACAGGATAAGAGGGTCATCGCCTTCTAGCTGTGGCTCCAGCCCTTTGAACATCACGAGTACGCCTCCCCCTGATGCCTCTTCTCCAGGAGGCAAGAAGGTAAGACTGATGACTCTTAGCCTAGGTCTGAAATGTTGGGGGTGGGAGTATGGAATTGCAACTGCGATTGCTGAAACAAGTTGAACTACTTTCTCCTTGAAATAAATACATCTGTATGAGGCTGGGTACAAAGCATATTCGTAGGGCTAGGGAGGCTTGCTGACATCCTCAGAGGCTTTCTTCCATGTGAGTGGAAGAACGGAGAAAGAATAAGAAATGGGGAACTGTCAGTTCATTTAATTGAGGGAGCAATTAAAGAGTTCCCAGAGGGAAAGATTATTGAGTACCACACATAGAAAAGTTTCTCATTCTCTGCTAGGAGTTTTCAAGGGATAAAATATTAGTGTCTAGGGCAGGCACTGGAAACAGCAATACCACCAGCAGTGCTTTGGAAATCAAGCCATGCTTTATAGCTGCAGAATACTTGGGGATCTGCTGTCTGGGGGTTCCTGTAGTGTATCAGCCCTCACAAAGAGCTTGCTATAAGACTACACTATAAATAGGTTTAGGAACCAGTCATTTGTTTTCGTCTTTGTCAGAGAACTTACAAGCCAAGGCCCATGTTAATCAGAAATCAGAAATCTGTTTATACCGCCTGATGTCAGTAGAGGTTAGGACAGTTCAAAGGCCAGCATTTTGGACACGATGGCTTCCTTCCCCATCTCCTAAAACACATACAAAGAGAGAATATTAGGAATTTACATTGGCAGGACTCCTAAGGCACAAACTATCAAAAGTAAGGCAAGGATTTTCAAAACTGAGCTCCCCAGAGGTTTGTTCATGTTACCAAGAACTGTGATGTTACCAGGTGGGATGGGTGTGGGGGTAGTTGCTAAGGAGAGAGGGTAAGGGCAGAAATCCTGCTTCTACAAGGGCAAGAATACGTCTGTTTTATATAGGAATCTGCAAACAATTCTATTTGAAAAAGGGATTTGCTCCTCCAAAAAAGGTTGAAAGTCAACAAATTAATGGGTAAGACTACATGGTAAGAGAGACCTGGGTCCGAAGCTTGGCCTTGCTATGTGCTAGTTATGTAATTTTGTACGACTTTCAAACTGTAGTTTTCTTTATAATGGAGCTAATATTGGTTAGGGTAGCCAGCATCTTTGCACATGAGGTCCTATTGTGAGGTAATGTATGTGAAAGTGCTTGGCCCAAAATACCACTGATAGATGAAGTCTGGGCTTGGTATCCCGCATGCCCCACGGCCCCCACTCCCACTGCTTGCCAGCTGTCTTCTTAGCTGTTCTTCTATTATACCTCCAGGTCCTTCTTGCATATTGGATCCACCATCTTCTTAGGGTGGTCTTCCAGTCTCTGCTTCTCAAGTTAACTTTTAGGGACTTGACTCCTGGTATTACTAAGGATTCTAGTTCTTGGTTTTGAAAGGTTATCACTCCAGAAATGGGCTTAAATATTACTTAAAGAACTTTCATATACATTATCTCATCTTATCCTCACAACATTATAGTTACAAGATCCAGGCTCCTCAGCGTTCATTTATAAGTATGGCCCCAAACTACAATCTTGGGCTCATGACTTCCAATTCTTTTCACATCAACAATTATCAGAAATCAAAAGCTGTGCTCTGCTTCATAAAGCCCCACCTATTTTTGAGGCATTTATGAAAATTCTTCCTTTTCTTTGAACTTATAAAAATGGATCTGTGAGAAGAAATTTGGATGTGTTCTCTCATGAGTTCTGGACAGCAGGACTTACAAGAAAAGCAGCTTAAACAAGACAGTTAAAACTGACAGCAGTATTAAATGGTGCACCAGACCCAGCCCTTTCCAGTCACTTTCAAATTTGGCAGGTCCAAAAATGAACCATTTAGCCTGCAGTTGTTTCAGTCAGGTTCAAGCTAAAAAGGACACTGAAGTGAGCCTCCATAGGTCCCAGGAGAGTACTGATATCCAGAAGCACTAAGGCAAATTCAGATAAAGCAGCAGTCCTACAAATGTCATCTGCAGTCTTTTTCCAAAAAGTGGGGGCACAGGATCCCGTGTGCCCCACCCCCCACCCCACCCAACACACACACCCTGCTTGCTGGCTGTCTTCTTAGCTGTTCTTCTATTATGCTTTTAAGGTTAAAGCTATTTTCTTAATAATGTCAAAACATTAGTTTGCTTTTCCCATCACATCCATCTTTTTCTCTTATGACAAAAAAATAAAAAGTTTAAAACCAGTTTTATTTAAGAATGTCCATCATGTCCAGGTATGGTGACTCACGCCTATAATCCCAACACTCTAGGAAGCTGAGGCAGGCAAACTGCTTTGAGTCCAAGAGTTCGAGGCAAGCCTGGGCAACACAGAGAAATCCCATCTCTACTAAAAAATACAAAAACTTAGCCAGGTAGTGCACCTGTAATCCCAGCTACTCAGGGGACTGAGGTGGGAGAATCACCTGAGCCTGGGAGGTCAGGGCTGCAGTGAACAGAGATTGTGCTACTGTACTCCAGCCTCGGCAACTGGAGTGAGACCCTGTCAAGGAGGGAAGGAAGGAAAGGAGGGAGGAAGTGAAAATGTCTGTACTTTTATAAAATTCGTAAGTACACATCTTTTAATGCACTGCGACAAAACAAGAAGTATGCATGAAGAGCTTGTGCTACATACCAAAGTATGATGTCTGTCTCAAAAACCATTTGTGTGATTAAGTTGTAAGCTGAGCTGCGTGCTATTTTCATTGGACACCATTTTTATTGTACATGGTCATTCAGCTTTGGGTATTTAGAAGACATTTTCTTGGAAATGAATGAAGTGAACCTGTCACTTCAAGGAAAATGACAACATTTGTTGCTGGTGATAAAATCTGAGCTTTCAAGTGAAAATTGGAATATTTAGAAAACCTGTATCTGCTACTTAGAGCTTGAGATCTTCCTAAAACTTAAAAAAATGTTTTTGATGAGCTAGGGAGTATTAACAATGTTGATACTTTGATGCTCTATAATGCAATGTGTAAACACATAGAAGATCTGCATAACTCAGTGAACCAGTATTTTCTAACCAATGCAAGGTATTTCAAAATCATGCAAGGGAAAAGATCCATCCTAAGTACGAAGATTATTTAATAGAGTACAAAAAAATTCATTGATATGGTTTCAGATTCAGATTCCACATTGCAACTTACCTTTAAGAGAGTTCTACGTGTTAAATTTTGAAGTGGTATAAAAAAAGAATACAATTATTTGAAAAGTCTATTAAAATAAGCCTCCCATTTCCAACTACTTATCTGTGGGAGGTCAGATTTCCTTCATATACTTGAAGTCATATCTAAATAGACTGAATGAAGAAACAGAGGAGAATCCAGTTGAAAACTACTAAGCCAGACATTAGATTTGCAAAAACGTAAAACAATAATACTCTTCTCGATAATTTGTTTTGGAAAATAGTTATTTTTCATTAAAATACTGTTCATTATTTTTATTAACATGTAGTGGGTTTATTACGTTTAAAAAATCTATTAGTTTTAATTTCAAATACAGTAAATATTGATAAATACAGCCTACATAAGCAAAAATTCTTTGGAGTCCTCAATAATTTTTAAGAGTGTAAAAAGATCCCTAGACCAAAACTTTGAACTGTGGAAATAACGTAAGTTATAATGCCACCTACTGGCAAGGCCTGAAATCACTGCTGCTCCTGAAATTAAGCAGCTACCAAACTGTTTCCTCATGTATATCCAGATAGGTATCAAAGAATGCTCTTCTTTGAGACTCAGCCAGGGGAAGCATCTGGGCGAGTGAGGGAGATTTTGAGACAGAATCAGAGTTCTGCTACTGAGTAGCAGTAATAATTCTCCCCAGTGGCCTTTCTTAAGAACTTAAACCACAGGTTACTGAAGTTGGCACCGGTAGTACAAGAGATTTACTAAGTGTTTTGTTGTTTGACTCCTTAGAACTGTGTCTCTTCACAGCTTGTTAACTACTTCACTTATTTCTTCTTCAGAAATATCTGTCACTGTAAGATGTTTTATTATTTTACAGGGGAAATGCCTAGTTGGGTTCATTGAAGTTTAGGTATTGGTCCTAAAGAAGTATGTGGGCATCATGATTCCAGGCAGTTGAAGACTCTTGGGATTTTATTCAGCCTTTAGGATGCCTTGGTGGGCTCAGTAAAATGAAGAGAAAAGAATAGTCTGGGGGACAGGTTATTTTTTTTACTATGACTGTGTCTGTCTCACAGTTCCTTGTTTGAAATCATCCAATAGAAAACTGAAGCCATTTGAAGCTTCTCCCCACCCCACCCCACCCCATGCATTTCCAACATGCTTCATTTTCCTTGTGGCACTGCTCATGAGAATGATCAAAACTTCATACTTCCCTCCTTCTGTTTGTAGATTTTAAATGGAGGGACTCCAGACATTCCTTCCAGTGGCCTACTACCAGGCCAGGCTCAGGAGAACCCAGGTTATCCATATTCTGATAGTTCTTCTATTCTTGGTAAGTGGCATTATTATTCGTTTCCATTGCAATGAGCTTGCAAAACTTCTGACATAAAGTCGGTTTTAAGAACTGAATTGTACAAAATAAGCTAATCCTAGATAAATTTAATAGGAACAGAATAGAAGTTTAAAATTTGTTTAAATCTCTAAAAAGTTGACTTCAATGTTTTGAGTTTCGGTGGAGGTCCAACTTTGTGCCTAGAACTCAAGAGGAGGCTACAGCAACCTAGACATAGGCTTTCTGCCATGTGGGGCATAATCTCTTCAGAGAGAGGGCTAATGAAGGTTCAGAGATAATGCCTAGAAGGGTGATTAATAAGTCTATCAGAAGGTATTAAAAGTCATTAAGTGACAAGAGTTTGTTTTTCCCATCACATCCATCTTTTTCTCTACTTGTCTTTCTAGATTTCTTTTTTCCTAAACTCTATTTGCCTTTCTTTTTGTAACTCCTCTTAACTGGTTATATCAGAATATTAAAATGAGCTCAACTCAAAGATTTTTAACATTTAAGCCCTTTGTACTTACTTCTAAAATGATTTTAGAAGCTCCTTAGAGCTGTGCCAACTTCACAGCTGAACGTGACTTATTTCTTATGTATTTTTTAAAAATTGGTGCTTTCCTCTGAAAAATAGCAATAAAAAAAGATAGCCATGCAGCCCAAAAAGCAGCCTCTCACCCTACCATTAAATGTAACTGTATAAAGTGTGCTTAGGAATTGCTAACAATCTAAATATGCTTTTTAAAAAAATCACTGACCAGTCTTTATCTCTTCCCACAGGTGAGAATCCCCACATAGGTATAGACATGATTGACAACGACCAAGGATCAAGTAGTCCCAGTAATGATGAAGCAGCAATGGCTGTCATCATGAGCCTCTTGGAAGCAGATGCTGGACTGGGTGGCCCTGTTGACTTTAGTGACTTGCCATGGCCACTGTAAACACTACATGTTGCTTTGGCAACAGCTATAGTATCAAAGTGCATTACTGGTGGAGTTTTACAGTCTGTGAAGCTTACTGGATAAGGAGAGAATAGCTTTTATGTACTGACTTCATAAAAGCCATCTCAGAGCCATTGATACAAGTCAATCTTACTATGTGTAACTTCAGACAAAGTGGAACTAAGCCTGCTCCAGTGTTTCCTCATCATTGATTATTGGGCTAGCTGTGGATAGCTTGCATTAATTGTATATTTGGATTCTGTTTGTGTTGAATTTTTTAATCATTGTGCACAGAAGCATCATTGGTAGCTTTTATATGCAAATGGTCATTTCAGATGTATTGGTGTTTTTACACTACAAAGAAGTCCCCCATGTGGATATTTCTTATACTAATTGTATCATAAAGCCGTTTATTCTTCCTTGTAAGAATCCTTTACTATAAATATGGGTTAAAGTATAATGTATTAGTTAAATATTTTTAATAAATGTTTCCCTTGTTCTATAAATACTGTTCACATTTCAGATAATTAGAAAAAAAATTCCTACATGTTGCAGGGCAGGAGTATCAGTTTCTACAGTGGATGTTTAAGGACTATCTATGCCAGTAACAGTAACATTTGTGGTGCTCTTCTGGCCTTCATAACAATTCTGGGACTTGCATAATCTCTCCATGCTACTAGCTTAGCTGTGTTGTTAAAATAGTTCATTTCTAAATTGTTGCAATTTTAACATGTTAGAACAAAGATGTTACTGCTAACACACAAACTTCGAACCCTCTGAAATTATAAATTCAAGATTATACTTAACAAATTGGCCTCTCTACTGCTGTACCTAATACTACTTCAGTTGTATAGTAAGTGACCCCAGTCCCAAAGCACCTAAATATTTGATTCCTGCTTGAATTAGACCACAGAATATTTACAATAGCATTTGCATAATTAATTTGCTAAGCAAAGTAGCATGGTATAATGGAAAAAGCACTGAACTAGTATGAGAAACTGGCTCTGAAACTTAGGATGACTATATGACCTATTTTGCCCTTCATATCAAGTTGAACTAGAAAATACTCTTTCAGCTCTAATATTGTTTTGTATATATAGTATATTTTATAATTAGTAGGGAATTTAAATGCCTTATCACATATATACTAAGAGTTCCTTGAGCTACCATTTGATTTCTAATAACATTTATACCAACGAGACAGGAAATCATGAGACTAAAAATATAGTCAAGGTGGTTATAAATCTGGTCAGAAACATTAAAACAATGGAATTTTATTTTGATGAAAAACTCGAGTTTACAATCATTGAGTAAATGAAGAGCAAACACTTCATTTTCCTATCCCATAACTCTTAAGAAAAAAAGCATTAGTAAATAAATATCTGTGAACAGATTAAGGGTAAGGCAGACTGGATAATAAACCACCTCTGACGTTCACACTCCCTGCATGTGAGTCACTCTAAAGGGTGAAATGGCACTGGAGATAACTGAACTTATAAGATCTGGGCATTAAATGTCATCCTGATCATTCAGATAAGCCCAAGATAAATACTTTTTGCTCATCAAGGGCAGCAAACTATACAAATTTTACTGGAGGAATACTTTGACAGAAGCACTTACTTAAGTTATATTGTGCATCACAACTATAAAATGGCTTGAACATTTCTATTTAACCACCATTTATAAAGTGCAACTATGTAATATTCTGCATTTTATCTGGGGTGTGATGATTATCAATCCAAACTGAAAGTACCCCAGCTGCCAATTTCCACCACTTTTGAAAAGACCTAGATGTGTGAAAAAGGACCATCCCCCATACAAAGAACCAATTTCACAAACCTACTGGTAAACAAATACATTTATATAATTGGAACTTCAAGATGATAGAGTTGTACTCATTTAAAAAAACCATTCAGCTACCTTTGGTCTTTAAAAAAGCCTACACTGCAATATCCTAAACATTGTTATGTGCATCTCACAATGAAGAAGAGTGGCCTTGCAGTGCAGAATGAGGAGAGTACAACGTCACTGTGAAGAGTAGCATGCTATGGTTTCAAGGAACATCAGCATCACAGCATTGGATTCTGTGCATCAGGATCAAGGTCACTATTGCCAGAAGGGGGATGGATAGGGAGAATGTCCAGCTCATCCACTTGTGGAGTTGGGTGCATGACTACCAGCTGGTCTTGGGGAATGTCTGCCGCAGCTGCTGCAAGGTTGGTGATAGATTTACTCTTTACACACTGAAAGTCTACATGCCGACTCTTTCCTTCTTCCTTCTCCCAGGACATTCGAATAAAGGGTCTTTGGACATAGTTGTAGATCACTTCTGGGCGGCCTCCAGGCCTTTTCTTTACTTTTTCTTTGTAGGTAGGATAACCTGAAAGAAGAAAAGGTTTTAAAAACTGAGGATACACACACACCCCCCTCATCCAATTTTGCCTTAGAAAGGTTTTTCTGCTATAGATCCTACAGAAACAAAACAAAGAAGGGACAACAATATTCTATCCACCTACTCATCAGTTCAAGAGCCAGAGATGAAAACTCTACTGATATAATTCACAAAATCTTCTGTCATTTTTTTCAATTACTCAATACACCAACCACCAAGAAAACATTCTTCAAGTAGGAGTATGTTGGAGATGAGTCCCCAGTACAATAGTATGGAGCAGATCTTGGAGCTATGTATCTTTTGTTTGTTTTGGGGATTTTTTTTTTTTTTGACACCGAGTTTCTCACAGGCTGGAGTGTCATGGCATGATCTTGGCTTACTGCAACGTCTGCCTCCCAGGTTCAAGCAATTCTCCCGCCTCAGCCTCTAGAGTAGCCAGGATTACAGACATGTGCTGCCATGCCTGGCTAATTTTTGTATTTTTAGTAGAGATGGGGTTTCACCATGATGCCCAGGCTGATCTTGGAACTCCTGACCTCAAGTGATCCACCTGCCTCTACTTTCCAAAGAGCTGGGATTACAGGCATGAGCCTCTGTGCGTGGCCTCTAGCTATGTATCTTTATAATCTCGTCACAGGATCTGGCCTACAGGCCTGTAATTTATGCCACATTAGCTTTCTAGTTTCCTTAAACTTACATCTCATCTTTATATTGCTCTGAGTTTTTTCTTTCCTTTTTTTGTTAAATGGAAAAGCTGTACAGCTCTCCAGGTGGTTCTAGATAATTCTGCATCTACATCAGCAAAGCCAACATTTTAACCTCCCGTATCACTTTAACATTACTACTCCCAACAACCAAGCATTTAATTTAGAGTCACATTTCCAAAGCAGGGTTCCCTGATTAATAATACCTAATACTTTCCTCTTTTGGAACATAGTCACTGAAAAGTAAGGACAACCCTAGATTTGAAAAAAAATTAGTTATTTACTAGTAAGGCCATTTCTCCAAAGATAAGCAAAGAAAATATTACGGACTCCTTCCCTCCTTTCTTCCAGTAAGAATTACTTGTTTGGTAGGGGGATTGACAAACATTTTCTGTAAAGGGCCAGAGTAAATATTTCAGGCTTGTAGCCACATGGTTTCTAATAAACCTACTTCACTCTGCCCCTGTAAAGTGAAATCAGCCACAGAGAATATGTAAACAAACGAGCATGTGTATGTTTTTCTTTCTTTTTTGGAGCTGGAGTCTCTGTCACCCAGGCTGGAATGCAGTGGTGCTATCTCTGCTCACTGTAACCTCTATCTCACGAGTTCAAGAGATTCTCCTGCCTCAGCCTCTCAAGTAGCTGGGATTACTGAAGCCTGACACCACACCCGGCTAATTTTTGTATTTTTGGTAGAAACAGGGTTTCATCATGTTGGCCAGGCTGATCTCAAACTTCTGACCTCCAGTGAGGCTCAGCTTCCCAAAGTGCTGGGATTATAGGTGTGAGCCACTGCACCCAGCCACATATGTATGTTCCAACAACACTTAATAAAAAATGCAATGAGCTGATTTTGGCCCATAGACCAAAGTTAGAGCATAGTTAGAATCAGAAAAACAGAATGGTCTCACATAGTAGGGGATCCATTAATGATTACTATACAAGTGAATGTATGTAGGCATCGTTGGTAGCTAGTACAAATAGTCATGTGTGGAGTATGTGTGTATGTGGTGGGGGTGAGATAGGTGCAGCAGGTGAACAAAGCTAAAAAATCTAAAAACCTGTAGAATGTCTTCATTTCATACTTTTGATCAATTACCCTCTGAAGGCAGCACCAGAGATCAGAAAGGTCTCCATCACCATTCCCTTGTCCTTGATTCCTCCTGGACTATTAGAAAGACTTTAAAATTCCCATCTCCTTGTATTCTATCCACCACACACAATCACCACTCTAGATAAATGTAATCATATTACAATCCTTGCTTTAAAACTACCAATGGTTTCCTTGGTGCTTAAAGGGAAGGTCTATACTCCTTAGAATATAGGCTTTTTTACAACCTGGTTCCAATCTACTTAACGTTATCTACTATCATGCTATACTTTTAACTCTACAGCTCTTAAATACACCTGCCACATTAAGCTTTCCTCTAAATATGCTTTTACACAAATTGTTCTGCTGCCTGTTCCCCCTCATCCTCCTTACCCCTGCGCTCCGCTCCACCTCCTTTTATCACTGGCAAATACATTAAGATTCTCCACACAGTTAATCATTTGCTCCTTATGCTCCACAGCACTCCCATGTTAACATATTTAACAGAACTAAATTGTAATTACTGTTTTGTATGTCTGACTCTCTCACTTAAATAACAAGTTTCTGTATGGCAAAGCCAGTGTCTTTGTTGGTGTATCCTCAGTGCCTAGCATAGTACCTGATACACTGTAGGTGCTAAACAAATATTTGAGCAAAGAGTGAATGAACTACCAAGATAACCAATTACAAGTAATAACCTCTTCCACTATCCAACTTACTTAGAACATTTTTTCCTTTAAAAAGACAGTAAAATCACCACTTTGGGAGGTTGAGGCAAGAGGATCATGAGGTCAAGAGAACAAGACCATCTTGGCCAACAAGGTGAAACCCCGTCTTTACTAAAAATACAAAAAGATCAGCTGGGCGTGCTGGCATGCACCTGTTGTCCCAGCTACTCAGGAGGCTGAGGCAGGAAAACCACTTGAACTTGGGAGGCAGAGGTTGCAGTGAGCCAAGATTGTGCCACTGCACTCCAGTCTGGCGACAGCGAGACTCCATCTCAAAGAAAAAAATAAATAAATAAAAATAAAGTAAAATAAAGTCTGTCCCTGACTTAGAGATTTACCAACCTATTCAAGTCAACAGTTCATGATTTAGCAGCTATTGCACCACAGAATTGTAATGCCAGAGTGCTGCCTTAAAGGTGGTTATGGTCTATTGGGAGTGATTAAATTGTTCATAAAGGCAAAGAACATTCCAAATAGCAAATACGCGTACCTAAGAGAAAGTGTTACAGCAATAGTGGAAGTGTAAAGAATTCAGAAGATGAATAAAATTCCAGTGGACTAAAACAGAAAAAGCTACTTCAAGGCCTTCCTTAATCTTAATGGATGAGCAAGACTGGGATGAGCAGAAACATGGGGAGCGCAATGCAGGCAGAGAGAATGTTACGCTAAGGAGAGAATGGCATCAGGTATGATACAAAGGTAGGAACATGGAAGATGGTTTAGAAGACCCTAACACACATATGACCGGAGCAGAAATTGTATTGGTAAACACTTGGAGGTAACACCAGAAGACAGATTATGGTCAAATGGGGGAGAGTCATGTGTAAATTTTACTCTTTAATAAAGAGTAAATTATACTTTTTATTAAACAAAAAGAAGCTCAGATTTTGTTCAAAGTTAGTTTGTTAATATTTTGCAGAGAAAATTTTGTTTGCAGGTCCAGAAACATGGAATTGGGAAATCAGAGGTTCTGTATACAGGTAGACTTTCAATGATAACAGCCAGTCCTACTACTGTCTTGCCATTCCTGCCCAGGATGCAGAGGGTAAAAGAATTCACAATTCCATCCAATTAAAGACTTTATTTCTTCGTCTCAAATTTCTTATATTCTATGGGAACTGTAATTCCACAATTATTTAGAATTTGTTCCCTTAAACTTCAGGTTCTAAGTCTCAGTTAATTATTCTGACAGAAAAGAGCTTTCCACTGAGTTCAGGACAAGGACTAATGACGGCAGTAAGGCCACATCCAATATGGTCTGCTAGATGGAGTAGCAGTAGTCCTAAACTGCCTTAAGAACCCAACCCTTGGAGGTCGAGAGATGTTCCATTAAGGGATAGATGAAACAAACAAAACAAAAAACCCCAAAGAAGTGCCTTTCAGTGGAATTGTAGTGTGGAGAATGATTTAGGTAAGAATTATTTGTGCTTTCCCACTTTGGATACATTTGTGTTTAACAAAACCAACAAACCCCAAAAGCCTGCTTAAAATTAAGCAGAGGAGGCCTTAGATAGATCTGACAATAGCAGTGTCTCAATATGAATACAGGACCACTGAGCTAAGATTGTTTGAATACTTCCAGCCTTATATTGCATCATCTTTTCTCACACATTCAAGTTCTCTCCTGTCCTCCTCATGTCTCTTATACACCAACCCAATCTAGCTCCCATAAAAGCGAACACACTTAATATTCTAATAAATTTTTTTTAATTTAATTTTTTATTGCATTTTAGGTTTTGGGGTACATGTGAAGAACATGCAAGATTGTTGCATAGGTACACACATGGCAGTGTGACTTGCTGCCTTCCTCCCCATCACCTAAATCTGGCATTTCTCCCCATGCTATCTAATAAATTTCTTTGAAGGGACTTAGGATTGGAATGGTAGGGGCACAGAAATGGTGGAGGAGGACAGTAACAAAATGGCTAACTTGGAAATCTCAACTTTTTTTCTCTGATCCCAGGAAAGTCTCAACACTTCCAGTGGGTTATGACTATTCTACTTATTTTTCAAGAGGAAAAGTAATATACTTGATGAGAAAATACAGCTACTGGTGTACATATTAGTTGAGAAAAAAAGGGTGCTTCGGTACACAGAAGCAGTTATTAAAGAAAAAAACAGATGAGCCTGGTTAGTTACTGTCCTACCAAAGTTAAGCCCAGTAACATAGACTATAGTACAGAGACAAATAATATGCGCTATTTAAGTGGAAATTTAAAATACCAGCTGATAAATGTAAAAGGAATGATTAATTCAAAAATTATCATTTTGCAATCCTTAATGAAATTACGGATTCAAGCAAAAATTATCAATTAGTATTTAAAATCTTTAGGTAATGATTAGCAGGGAGCTGAACATTCTTAGTGTCAAAATAATACCACATAAAGAAACAGCTTGATCTTCTAATGGAGAGATCAGGTTGTCACCCACAGATATGGTTTGGCTCTGTGTTCTCACTCAAATCTCATTACAAATTGTAATCTCCACATGTTGGGAGAGGAACCCGGTGTTTGGATCATGGGGGTGGTTTCCCCCATGCTGTTCTCGTGACAGTGAATTCTCACGAGATCTAATGGTTTAAAAGTATGTGGCAATACCCCTTTCACTCTCTCTCCTGCCACCATGTGAAGAAGGTCCTTGCTTCCCCTTCACCTTCTGCCATGATTGTAAGTTTCCTGAAGCCTTCCAGTCATGCTTCCTGTTAAGCCTGCAGAACTGTGCATCAAATAAACTTCTTTTCTTCAAAAATGATCCACTCTCAGGTAGTTCTTTATAGCAGTGAGAAAATGGACTAACACACTGACTAAGCCTTTCAATGTGAGTTACAGTTTATAGAAATTACAGAAGAGAGGGAATAAACTGAAGGACACACCAAGGAAATAATAGGGCAAATCGAGAAGTGGGACCTTCTACAAAACAACTGGCCCAGACTCTTCAATAGGACAGTATCATAAATAAGGAACTATTTTAGATTGAGAAATTTAACAAAACAAGCAGTTAGTTGCAAGATGTGGTCCTAGACTGAATCTTGGTTTAAAGAAAACAGCTAAAAGGAAATTTTGGGAGACCACTGGGAAATTTTAAGGTGGACTCATTCAAATAAAGTATTCTTAATTTTGTTGGGTATGTTAAAATATTTTTTAGAGTGGCATATTAAAATATTTAGAAGTGAAATATTTTATATATATATCAGATATATATATTATATATACACACATATATAATGTACTATTTTAAATGAATTTTATATGAGGTTAATAGTAAATAGTTACTAGGTCCTTACAATTATATGAAAATTCTTTTAGGAATATGGCTCAATGATTTAGAGCACTGCTATTATCTCCCTGCAACAGAGAATGAAGTCTTCCCTTTCTCTAACTAATTTACATGTAGCTTCTCCATAAGTCATTCATTTACTATTTGAGAACCACTTATACCTAGGAACTAGGCCACATGCTAGGTATGCAACATGCAACTTGACTTCTTTTAAGGAGCTCACAGTCCATGACTGAACAGAGTATTATATAGCAAATTATTCTAAGGAACAATTTCACAGTGGTTCCAAGGTTTCAGAGGACTTTAAGGATGAATAATAGTAGACATGTAGAGAAAGAGGAAGTAGAGTGGGAAAGAAGTGATTTCTAGTAAATAATATTTGATTATCACAACTATCCTCTAATATATACAGAGTATTATACTCACTACAAAGATAAAGGCAATTGATGCTCAGAAAGGCTGAGAGACTTAAGACACTTGACCACTATACGCCTTACCATGGCCTGTAAGAACCTGCATCTTCTAATCCTACTTTATCTCTTCTACTAACTTTCATACCAACTACATCTCTTCAAATTTTCTCCACACTCATTATAACAGCCATGTGTGTGTTTTCTGTACCATAAATATAGTAAGCACATTTCTACTTCAACCCTTTTGCACTTGCTATTTTCTCTATCTAGAACCATTTTTGTCACCAGACCTCAGCTTGAATGTCTTCTTCTCAGAGGCCTTCCTTGTCCTCCCAATCTAAAGTAAATCCCAGTGCCTTCTCTCTAGGTCTAAGACCAAGTAGCTAAATCTCATTGTTTACAAAGTGACGGACTAGGGCACCAGGACCAATGCTTCACATATCAGCAATCCCATTGCTTCTAAAGCCCAAAGTCTCTGCCCCATCCCACACAAAAATCCTGTTTCTGGTTATTCTTCCTATGTAGCTCAGCAGCCCATTACTATTCTCCAGCAGTTCAACCAGGTAGGTCAATGATCAACACTTTTATCTTCATCATAAACACATACTGCAAACTTACTATGTACTAGCCACTGTTTTAAGTGTTTTTCATGTACTAATTCATTCTATCCTTACAAGAATCTTACAAAGTACTCATTAATGCTCCCATGTTAGAGGAAAGAAACTGAGGCACAGAGTTTTTAAGTGCCATGGCCAAGGTCATACAGCTATTAAGTCACAGGATTTGAATATAAGTAAACTGGCTCCATAGCCTTTACCCTTTACATTGCTATGTTATATCAAGAAAGACACTTTGTTCTTCTTAAGTGTCTTTTAAAATAAAAGAAGCATCTGATAAATCATATGGAAAAGTTCTTTTAATTCATAAAGCAAGCTACCTAAAACTCTATGCATTTACAAAAGATAAAAGAATTTCATAATTTGTATTTACCTTAAAAATAAGCTATTATCATACTTTTAAGACATAAGTAAGCTACCAGTGCTGCTTTTTCTGCAATATTCAGAAAGTAATTTTTAATTCTATTGGGCTTCAATGATCACTACTATCCAATCATCCTGGTTTAAAAGCCAATAAAAGGAAAATGCGTATATAAACTCTACTCATGGAGTAAATGTGTGATTATTGCTACATCCTTAAGATTTACTGGTATTTTAAGATAAATATTATTTTAGAACTTAGAAAGGACAGTATCTGTCATAAAGTCACATGTAGAAAAGTGAGGCCAAAAGGCTATCTCTAGCTCCTCAAATGAATCTTCTTTATTAGCCCTGCCAATCCTAAAGGAATGTACATATATGAAACAAGTCCTGCCAATCCTACGGGAATGTACATATATGAATGTCCACACACACCACATGGGCTTTGTCAAAAATGAATTAGAACAAACTATGGCAGAAAAAGACAAATTCATATCTCTGTATCACTAGAGAATCTTATGGAATAATAATTTCTAATGGCCTTTTATCTGTCTTCTCAGATAAGTGCAGCTGATTTTGGTATTTATAGGTCTACTGCATAAGCACATGGTAATCATTTGTCAGAGTTTTTCTCAAAGTATTCAGAATGTATTCTAAATAAGATCCAATAGTTTTAATCTTTTTTTCAAAAGAAAATTAATAGAAAATAATGAAAATGTCTTACCTTCTATTCCCAATCTAATCTTCTTAAGACCCCTCTCCTTCAAAACTGACTTGGCCACATCTCTGTTTTCAATGTACTTGAAAAATCTATATAATTTTGTGCTATAAATAACTGGAAAGAAAAGACAAAAATATTGTGTTAAAATTAAAGGATTTAGAGATAAACTTAAATTTATCTTGCTCATCAAAGGGGCCTAACAGTCCTAAAAGCCCAAATAACGGATGCAGTAATGCCAAAGGATGACTAGCCAACATGACAGGGCAATATTCAGTATAGTTAATGTAGAAGCAAATGTCTACTTAAGTGGAAACAAGAAAAGCTTTGACAACCAATCAGGAAACCCAATCCATAGGAACAATCTCCTTCTGAAAGATACATCATCTATACATTTATCGGAATAAGATCTGCCCCAAGTTTCAAATAAGAAAATCCAAAGAAGATATCAATGTCAATCATTATCAAGCAAAGTAAAGGACTTTGCTAAGATTCCTATAAGGCCTAGTCTAGAGGTGGGGAAAAACTGTCTTGTCAAAGAGTACAAAACAGACACATTTTACATTTCATGGATTGAGCAACTATTAATAATTTCCCAAAATGCAAAGACCATCCCCACAAACTGTTTTCCATTCAGGCGAACAGCCCCATTTAATACTGATGTTAAAAATGGCAGATTCAAGCAAGTTCTGCCTAGGTTAGTCTGTTTAGAACAAACTGGCTTTGCAAAGGACAGACATTCCACTGACAACATGTTGAGTCTTCCAAATGTGCTGAGAACTTCAGGGAGTTAGACTGATGGATATTCCTCGCCTTCTCTCTTTCAGGTGGAGTTATCTCCCTTAAAAGATGAACTGCAAAGGTTTTTTCAAAAAAAGAAAAACACACTCACAAACCAAACATGCTGGTTTAAGAGCCAATAAAAGGAAAATGCGTATATAAACTCTACTCATGGGGTAAATTTGTGATTATTACTACATCCTTAAGATTTACTGGTATTTTAAGATAAGTATTATTTTAGATCTTAGAAAGGACAGTATCTGTCATAAAGTCACATGCAGAAAAATGAGGCCGAAAGGCTATCTCTAGCTCCTCAAATGAATCTTCTTTATGTTGGATCATCTTAACACAAAATAAAACACATTTAGACAACTAAGTAAACATGTTTTCAGGGCTTTTAAGCTTCAAAGCTTAAGATAAAAAACAAGAAAACAAAAAGAAATATATTGAAGTGGAAAAGTTCTACAATGGAAAAGAAAATATCAGGTTTACTATAATTCCTTTATCACTATAATATCATTTCTATGTTCTATGGTTGGCTGTACTTTCTTGAAGTCAAACCTTTTGAAAAGTAAAACATAAGTTTGTTCATTCCTTTTCCTTAACAGAAAATAATTTACTATATGTCTTTTAATTTTGACAACCTTTCATTTTTCTTGGGTTTTGTTCAACTTTTTATTCCACATATTATAGAAAAACATTGTCAGTAAAGAGCCTAGGACTAAGGAAACAGCAACAGAAATGTCTATTACTACAACTATCCACAAAGAAATCACAACACTCATTTAAGTACATCATGCAAAAGAAATATCTCAATGCAAACTCCGAAAAGTGCTATCATAACTGTGTTAAATAATCTTTCAAAAATCTCTTTTAGAAGTAAAAAACAATGCCATCTGGAGTCTGCTTTGTTTTGATTTTAGAAAAGTATATGTAAAATGGAAAAATCAGAGATAAAGTGTTTTGGTACTTCCTATATTAAACCCTAGTCCTTACCAAGTCAGCAGACTCGAGTACAGAAGAAGATGTCAGACTATTTTATTCAGTTCCTTGAGTCATTCTTTCAATTCTTCCTTATTTATGAAACTGGTCAAAAATACTAATATCAGATTCATCAAGAAAAATAATAAAAAAAAAAAGAAAAATGTTAGCATTTGCTGCTCATGATAGGCCATTTTGGTCAGAAATACCCAAAAGAACTATAGTTCTACAAAGCTTTATAAAGGGTCATTGTATCCTTGATGAAAATATATATTTTAAAAAGAACACCTTAGAACTCAATGTTATCCTCAAAATCAATGAGTTAAAACTTCTAAATTTATATAAAAATAAAAATTCCTTTTTTAAAAAACACTGCTTTTATAAAGGAACTAGTTATCCAGGGTGCTTTTAAATACAAAGAAAAAAATCTATCAAAATACAGAGAGTCTACAAAAAGCTAACCACTTATGTGTATGGCATGGGTACTGCATATTGTTTTGTATAGGCTTATATAATAAATACCTTGGGCATTGCGAGCCATGCAGTTTCTGTTGCAACTACTCAGTTCTGCCACTGTAGCATGAAAGCAGCCATAGGCAATACATAAAACTTTATTTATAAAAATAGATGGTGGGCTGGATTGACCCCCAGGCTACAGTTTACTGGTCTATGAAAAGAGTTCTTTCTTTATGAAAACAAGAGATAATCCATGATGATTCAGGAGAGAGAAAACATGCCAGAATACTTACTTTGTGAATATTCTTCTCCCATCTGTGGTGGATATTCTTCATCCCAATCAACCACATCATCATCTGTAAGCACCACTATATGACATTCCCGTTCCCCACTCTGAGCACTAGCTACCATGAGAGGGAGGATCATTTCTTCCAGATAAAATTCAAATTGTCTACGAGCACCATCATTTGATAACTCATGCATTAGGGCACCTGAAATGAAATCCACAAAATATCTTATCAAAACTTTTCCTAAAAAGAGTTCTTTTAGACATATAGAATCTTGTAAGAAGAAGGACCAATTAAAGGCATCCTACAGAGGCCCCCTCCTCATTTTACACATCATGAAATAACTTGCTTACTAAGATTACCAAACTAATTTGCAAAGTCAGAAGTCAGAATTAAAAGCCTATCAGAAATTAAAGTCAGAAAACTCTATCAGTAGCCTAGCATATTTTTCACTATACCATATTATCTTCCATCAGTATATACAATATGTCTTAAAGCATATCTTAAAGATACTTTTCAGGTTATCCACATAAACTGAAATAATTCGTATATTCCATCTCTTGCATGTTCTCCTCAGAAAGTTACAAGCAGAATATTTCAGTGCAGGTTGAGAGGTGAGGTGAGAAGCTTCAATAGGGAATAAGGTAGGCAAGAGGCCAAGCAAAATATAACACAATGCAGGAATTCCACAGTAAACTTGATACTAGAATTGAGGAAGCTGAAAGACAGACTTCAGCATCCTTAAGCATAGACATAATGAACGACTTCAGTTTCCTAAGTGCACAGTCACAAACTCACCTGCACTGACCTATCTTTTTTCTCTTTTTTGGGGATGGCATTCCGCTCTTCTCACACAGACTGGAGTGCAGTGGCATGATCTCAGCTAACTGCAACCTCCACCTCCCAGGTTCAAGCGATTCTCCTGCTTCAGCCTCCCAAGTATTTGGGGTACAGGCACCCGCCACCATGCCCAACTGCTAATACTTTTATTTTGGTAGAGACGGGGTTTCACCATGCTGGTCAGGCTGGTCTCGAATTCCTGACCTCAGGTGATCCACCTGCCTTAGCCTTCCAAAGTACTGGGATTACAGGTGTGAGCCACCGCACCTGGCCTCTTTCTTCTTGAATTCCTATTTAATGGAAATGTCCTATCTCCTACTGAAGATTCCAACATCTCAGGAACTACTGCTACTGCATTAGCCTGCAGAGCAAAGTTAAAGAAGCAACCATGGCAACCATATGCATGAGTGAGTGAGTGAGTGAGTGAGTGTGTGTGTGTGTCTGTTATAAAAACTAGAGAAGTGGTGAAGGAGGACACTAGAACTCAAATCTACAGTCTCCCAAGGGAGAGCTTTTCCTCCCTACAAGATGTCTCTCTAAGTATATATAACAATTAGCAATATCTAATATTTTACGATTAACATAATAGATAACTGATTAGATAATTAAATAATCTATATTGCTATTACTTAGCCATGTCTCTCTCTAGGCTTGCTATTTCTCACTACCATTTAAAAAAGTTATCTTTATAGACAAATACCTATATTTCAATACCTTCTCTCTCCCCCAATTTCTGAACCAATTCCAATCTGGCTTCCACTCTCACTATACTACAAAAGTATTCTTGCCATGGTCTCCAAATGGACTTTATATTTTTAAAGACAATAATAATCCTTTGGACCTCATCTTATTTGACTTCTGTTTAATCTCCTAAACTGGACCACTCTTTCTTGAAACATACTCATCTCTAAGAATCTCTGATACCATTATCCCTGTTTTTTTCCTCCTCCAGGCTGTTCTTCCTCAGTAACCTTTGCCAACTGTTTCTCCTGCAGCTGTTCATTAAATACTGGTATTTCTCAGGACAATTTTAAGTTCTTTTCTTCTTTTTCTGCTTTTATCATATGCTGACAATTCCCAAATTTATTTCTACTAATTCAGTCTTCTGTATTCAAGATGCATTATATTTAGCTGCTTTCTGGAAATTTCCACTTGGATGCAATCTCACAGGTAGTCAAACTCAATACAACCAAAATTGAACTTACCGTCTCTGTCTCTCTCCATAGTATTTTTCAAATCAGTAAATGGCATCACTATCCACCCAAGTTCTCAGAACCAACTCAGTACAGTGTTAGGCATATAATGGGAACTTAAATATTAGTATACTAAATGAATAAATCCTTGATTTCTCCTTTACCTCCTAATTCAAATAATTCCCCAGGTCTTCTTAAACATACATCGAACTGTGTTATTTCCTTCTTTTGGCAGATATTTACCAAAGTTAGCTACAAAATCTCCTAAGCCATGTACTTTTCTGCAAGGTGACCTTGACATCTCCTCCCAAAAAGTGAAGTCTAGTTCCCGTCCCCTTTAATTAGATTTGTCATACAATTTTGTAACCAGAGGAGCATGGCTGAGGGGAAAGCACATGATACTGAAGGCGAAGTCAGAAGAAGCCTTGCAATTTTTGCCTTGGTTTCTGGAATGCTTGCTCTTCAAATGCTTCCTTTCTGAATGCAGCCTCCAGGATTTGAGAAGCCCAAGTCATAGAGAGGCTACACATAGGTATTTTGTTTGACATTCCTAGCTGAGTCTAGCCTTTGAGTCATTCCAGTCCTGGCACCAGACATGTGAATAAAGCCTCCAGCATTGTGAGCCACACCAGCCCATTAATTCTTCACAAATAAGGCCTCAGACATTGTGAAGCAGCCATAAGCCACTTCTGCTGTGTCCTGTATAAATTCCTGACCCGAGTAATAAAATGGTTATAGTTTATGCTAACTACTGCACAGCTATAGTTAACCAGACATATTCCATCCCCTTGCCTCCATCCTGATTCTGTTCATCATTAACTCTCACCCAAAATACTACACAATCTTTCTGATTACATTCCCCCAACATCTGCTTTTGCCCCTCTGCAATTCATTTTCCCCACAGCAGCCAAATCTAATTGTCTCTGCTAGTCTAACCCTCTCATGACTTATCCTTAAAATAAGTCGCAAATCCTCAACTTGGTATGGTGAAAAAGAATGTCATAAATCAGTGTGTAGAATCAATCCTTTAATATATATTCTTTAAATATTATCCATAGACTGATGACTCCCACTTACATCTAGCCAACATGTATAACCTATGCTTCACTCAAAATTTCTACTTAGATATCTAACAAGTATTTCAAACTAATCTTGTTCAAAATCAAGCTTCTAGATTTTTGCTCCTCATGAAGTCTCCTTCATCTCAATTAACAGCAATCTCACACTTTCAATTAAAGCTCTCTTCTCTTTTCCACTCCACATTCAATTGAAGAGGATCCTGGTAACCCAAACATTCAATATGACTAGAATCTGACCACTTCTCACTGCTTCCACTCTAAACCAAGCCTCACCATCTCAGACCTGGATTTTGGCATTGACTCCCTAATTGATCTCTGCTTTTAGCTCAGTTCCCCTTTTGGTCCATTTCTAACACAACAGCCAAAAGTGATTCTTTTAAACCTTGAGTCAGGTCAGGATTATAGCACTGAACAACTCTACATTTTCTGTGTGAACAGGGCCCCCATGAAATGGTACAATGTGACAGCCTAACAGATCACATCACCCTTTTTTGTTTTTGTTCAAATCCCTCCCTTATCTTCCAATCTCACTCAGAGTAAAAGCCAAAAGATAAAGGCTCTATATAACCTAGATCCCTTGTTACCTCTCTGACTACATCTACTACTAACTCTCACTCACTGCACTCCAACTATCGTGGGCTCTCTGATGCTCTCAAACATACCAGACAAGCTCCTTCATTGTGTGTATTCACTATTAACCTCTGCTTGAAATTTAACATTTTCATTTCTAGTGAGTTTCTCTGGCTACTCTAACCTCACTTTTTTCTCCTTGGCACTTATCACTAACATACCACATATGACTTACTTACTTAATTTCCCAATAGAGTGTAAGTTCCATTAGAATACAAAGTTTTGCTTGGTTTGTTCATGCAGAATCCCCACAACTTAGAACAGTGCTTAGTACAGAGTAGAGTCATTAAATATTTGTTCAATTAATAAATTTTGTTTTCTCTTTACCTCTCTGAGCTTATTCCTCACCACTCATACTCCATTCCTCTGCTCTAGCCACATTTGCCTTTTTTTGGGTTCCCTCAATATGTCATATTCCCACCCATTTGAGAATCTCTGCACATATCATTTCTACTCCTTGTATGGCCTTCTTTGCCATCCTTCAGGTCTCAGCTTTAATGGCACTAGATAATGATTCTCCACAGACCCTTTGTCATACACTTCTCATAATAACTAATTTCTTCTCTGCATTTTTCATAGCTTTTATTACTTGTTAAATGTCTGTCCTTCCCACTAGTCTATTATCTCCACAAAGGCAGGGACAATGTCTGTCTTTGTTCATCACTATATGTACTATACGCGTGAAACTCATAAAAAGCTTGATTAAGAAGGAAGAGAAGAAAGGACAAGTTAAATGGTAAACTAGAAATAAATAGTTGACCAGGACGCAAAGGCACAAGAATGACATATAGTGGACCCTGGGAAGTCGGTAGGGAAGGCTGGGAGGAAGGTGAGAGATAAAAGACTATGTACTGAGTACAGTGTACACTGCCTGGGTGATAAGTGCACCAAAATCTCGGAAATAACCAGTAAAAACTTACCATGTAATCAAAAAACACCTGTATCCCTAAAACTATTGAAATAAAATTTAAAAAAAAATTTTTTAAGGTGACACTTAAAAAGGTAGAAACTGTCAGTGTAAAGATAACATCTGAAGCCACAGTGATGAACAGCACCACTTAGCATAACTGTAGATTCTGTGAGAAAGAAACTAGCTAACAGTAGAGAACAACCACAATTCCAAGGATCAGGAATAAGGATGTCAAAAAGCCAAAGGAAGGGAGAGTCAAGAAAAAAAATGAGTATTAATTAAGCCTAAAGGAAATGTCTTTATTTTTTCTTGAGATAGGGTCTTGCTATGTTGTCTAGGATGGTCTCAAACTTCTGGGGTCAAGTGATCCTCTCACCTCAGCCTCCCAAAGTACTAGGACATGAGGCACCACGTCCAGGGAAATGCCTTCAAAGACAGAGATGCCAGAATGCCCATTAAACTTAACATTGTTGAAAATCTTCTAGCCAATTTGACAAGACAAAATAAAAAGGTATAAAAAGTGTTACTTATAACACAGACAATTAACTATGA